TGTCCCCCCCCCTCTCCCCCCCTCTCCCCTCTCTGTATCTCCCCCTCTCCCCTCTCTGTATCTCCCCCTCTCCCCTCTCTGTCCCCCCCCCCCTCCCCCCCCTCTCCCCTCTCTGTCCCCCCCCCTCTCCCCCCCTCTCCCTCTCTGTCCCCCCCCCCCTCTGTCCCCCCTCTCCCCCCCCCCCCCCCCCTCCCCCCTCTGTCCCCCCCCCCCCCCCCTCTGTCCCCCCCCCCCCCCCCCGGCCCCGGAATGCCGGTCTCCTGTAGTGCCCTGAACTGCAGGAACCGCTTCAAGAAAGGCAACGGCGTCACCTTTCACAGGTAACAGTCTGTGTGGCCATTCCCCCCCCCACCCCCCCCACACACACCCCCCACACACACCCACACACACACACACCCCCACACACACCCTCACACACACCCCCACACACCCACACACACAACCCCCACACACCCTCACACACACCCTCACACACACACCCCCCCCACACACACACACCCACACACACCCCCTCACACACACACACACCCCCACACACACCCTCACACACACCCTCCACACACCCCCCCCACACACACACACCCCCACACACACCCTCACACACACCCTCACACACCCCCCCCCCCCCACACACACACCCTCACACACCCCACACACACACCCCTCACACACACACCCCCTCACACCCTCACACACACCCCCCCCCCACACACACACCCTCACACACCCCCACACACACACCCCCCCCCCCCCCCCCCCACACACACACACCCTCACACACCCCCACACACACCCCTCACACACCCCCCCCACCCCCTCACACCCACCCCCACACACCCTCACACACACACACCCACACACACCACACACACCCCCCCACCCCCTCACACCCACCCCCACACACCCTCACACACACACACCCACACACACACCACACACACACCCCCACCCCCTCCCCCACACACACCCCTCACACAGCTCACACACACACCCACACACACACACCCCCACCCCCCTCCCCCCACACCCTCACACACACACACACACCCCCCACCCCCCCCACACACCCCCTCACACACACACACACCACACACACACCCTCACACACCCCTCACACCCCCACCACACACCCCACACACACACACACCCACCCCCCACACCCCCCTCACACCCCCCACACACCCCCACCCCCTCACACACCCCCCCCCACACACCCTCACACACCCCCCACACCCCCACCCCCCACACACACCCCCCACACCCCCCCCCACACACACACCCCCCCCCACCCCCCCACACACCCCCCCCCCCCACACACCCCCTCACACACACCCTCACACCACCCCCCCCCCCCCCACACACCCCCCACACACACCCCCCCACCCCCTCACGCACCCCCCACCCCCTCACACACACACACCCCCCACACCCCCCCACCCCCTCACACACCCCCCCCCCCACCCCCCCCCCCCCCCCCCCCCACACACACACACACTGTTTTGTTTAACAGTTCTGTGAAACTTTGAGTCCAGAACCAGAACCATCTTCACTGTGTGGATTGTTTTTTTTTCCTTTTCTCTTGTTTTTTGGAGAAAAAAGCCCCTCCGACAAATCAGAAAAAATGTGTTTTGAGGGGGTGGGGGGGGGGGGGAGAGGGAGGGGTTAAAAAATAATGTTCTTTTTATTTCCCAGTTGGAGGTATTCTCCCTCCCGACAAATCCACAACTCCTTTCGCTCGGATGTCAAGTGGCCGCAGCCTTGTGTTCAGGGCCTCCCTCCTGTGCCCATGTTGGTCACCACACTTCCTGTTGGGTTACACTACATTGACTCCCAACTTTGCTTAGAAATGGGTTCAGACGCGGAAATGCAACAACAATAATAGTAGTCCTTTAACTGTGTGTGTGAGAGCTCCCATCAAATTTAGGGCTGTTTCTCCCGTCCGGGATAGCATTCCACGATGGCTCCTGAGCCAGCAATGGGCTTCTGGCTGTGTCAGACAGCCAAAAAAAATGATCATGTCATGTCTGAGCTGAATCGCGCTTCAAAATTAAATAAATTAAATTAAAATTAAATAATAATAATCCTCGCATCCTTTGATATAGCGCTTTTCGTGTCGGGAGGACGTCCCAAAGCGCTTCACGGAACACACTGTAAAGTGAATTGACTGTATATTTGTGGGCGAACGCGGCAGCCAATTGCGCACAGCAATGTCCCACAAACAGTCGTGGGTTGAAAATGACCAATTTATTATTGTTTTGGTTTTGGAGGATTATTATTAGGCTCTGTGTGGAGTAAGGAAACTTGCCCAAGGTTTCGCCCTCTGCCTGGAATTGAACTCAGGTCTCTCGCTTGCAAAGCGAGTGCTCTAACCACTGAGCCACAGGACTCCACCCACTGAGCCACAGGACTCCACCAAGGGCTAATCATAAGGGCTAATGATGGACATTGAAATGATGAGCGAGAAGAAGATGCGGTGGAGCGGATGCGGTGACGGAAGCTGTCCCGGTAATCCAGCATCGTTCTTTTGGACGTTTTGCCCAAAGAGAGCGTTAGTTAAGATGACGTTCGCCTGAAGTTTCCACGTCTGGGGGAGAGTGTGCGTTTTTGAAAGTGCTTTACGTCGATCCGAATTTGTGTTTGATTTCTGCGGCCACAGATTCCCGCTCTCGAGACCCGACCTGATGGCAAAGTGGCTGACGGCGGCAGCGCGAGAAAACTGGGTACCGTCGCCCAGAGCGACTCTCTGCAGCAATCACTTCACAACAGACTGTTTCGAGAAGAGGAACAACAGACGGCATCTGAAACTTTGCTCTGTCCCAACCATATTTCCACCGGCTGCGAACAAGGTACAGCTTCGAACGTTGTTCTCGGTCTGTCACTCGTTGCAGTAAATGAATTGGCGATAATAATATTATTGATCGGCCTCGAGAGCAAAACTTGTCACATTTTCATCAAAGCATATAGCTTGGAGGGGGTGGGGGGGGGGGGCATTAATTTTGGAGTGTAGCTTAACCACTTTTTTACATACAAATGTTCTCATTCTCATCCATCCTTCTTCCCCCTCTCTCCCACCAAACGCACAGTCGCTACACTTTACAGTATATCCCGTGAAGCGCTTTGAGACGTCTCGAAGACGTGATGGGGCGCTGCACCAAATGCGAGGATTCTTCTTATTTGTACAAATAATGCATGGATTTGTCTTGCTGTGAAAGGTCAGCGTGTGTGGCGCAACACAAAAGATAAATATGCGAACTTGTATTCTTTTCGTCTCGTGATCGCAGGCTGCAGGCGACAGAAGGGTACACAAGCTGAACACTTCGAGCGCTGACAACAGACACCGTGAGGGAATGTCAGCGTTGCAGTCGTCACCTTCGCCGTCGGAGGCTGTTTCAGCGTGCGACGCATTGAGCCAAACAGCTCAGTCAGTTAGAACTGCAGACAAACTAACTCCGCGGACCACGGAGGCTCTCGACACTGGGCGGCTTGCTCAATTAGCCGCTGCAGCAGCGGTCTTGAACCCCAAAGAATTGCCTCAGATCTCGGAAGTTCCTTTCACGCCGTGTTTATTTACTACACCTTTAGATCCAACATCTGCAGTGATAATGTCGGAAGGAACAGGTTGGATATACACAGAGGTACTTATCCCTGAGTCACAGACCCACCAATCAACTGCACCTCTGTGTTCTTCAGAAGGAGTACAGCTTTCCTCTGAGACTGCCCTTTCTCCAAACGATTTGCCGGAAACGGTGTTTCCTCAGGACCACAGTTATTTCATGAGCCCTTACCCCGATATAATCCGGCAAACTTTGGAAAGGAAGCTTGCTTGGGAGAAGAAGAAAAACAAGGAGCAAAGGCAAAAATTCAGAGTCTTGCAGCAAAAGCTGAAAAGAAAAAATCAGAAAATTGACCAGCTCAACAAAATTATTAACCAGCTACGGAAAAATATCAAGACAGACGAGCAGACAGGTATTGCACAGTAAGGCACACGCCCGCACGAAACCAAAATGCTTATTTAACAACCGTTTGGTTGTTTAATCAGAAATGACCTTCGCACTTAAAAGAAAAATGGATTGAAAATGTGCGGCATTGGTTTTTCAGCATTTAATACCTTACAAAGATGTCTATGTACCAGTCCAGGTGCCGGCTGAGTCCTGTTGAAGGTGGATGAGGGCTAACCTTCTCCAGTTGAACGTCAACAAGACCCTTAACTATCCTTTCCACCCCACAGCTGCGTCGCGACCCGCTCGCTCTGCCTTCCCCCATCCCCGCAACCTCGCCCGGCTCCGACACTGCCTCACACCGCAGGCCGTCGAAACCCTCACACACGCCTTCATAGCATCCAGGGTTGACTGTGCAAACATCCCCAACGCCTCCCTCCGTAGGCTGCAGATCATTCAGAACTCTGCAGCCCGTGTCCGCTCCCGCACCGGGCTCCGTGACTCCAATTGCCCCCGTCCTCGCCCGACTCCATTGGCTTCCCATCACACAGAGGATACAGTTCAAGATGCCGGTCCTCACCTCCAGAGCCCTCCGTGGTCTTGGTTGTTGAAGTTAGATTTGATCGTCTTCAAAGGGGTCAGTTTCGTGAGTCAATTCATTGGTTCACAGGGTGAAAATGTACAGGAGAGGAATAAATTCTTGTATATTTTAACCCTGAAATGAGCACGCAGCCAAACTACAGGGTGACCAAAGAGTCGTGATACCATTTACAATGCCTCATAAGTCTCGGTGAAGAAATTATGATATTTTAGGGTGTTTTTTTTTAAGACGTTTTTGTTCACACCGTACTTCTCTCTCCAGTAGAAAGATTTGCAAACGGATTGTTCACAACCTTCACGGAAACCAGAAAATAAAACAGACTTAAAAATGTACCTTTGCAAAACGTTGCCGTTCACTGTTGATGGGTTTGCCAAAAAGCTCAGTGAGCATTTTTTGTTGGTAATGTACAAGTAGCTTTAAAATTAAACTCTCGTTGTTTGATGCGTACAATCAGCCAAACGGTGCAGCATTTAAGACTTACGGTCGGGAGAGTGCGTTCGTCATTCACATTCGGTTTTAATAATGAGGGGAAAAAAAACTCTGTTCTCGCGGCAGTAAGTAAGTAGGAACCCGGGTGTCAGTGGTCCGGTGGGTGGCTTTTCTGGGGGTGGGGTAGTAATAATAATAATAGTAATAGTAATAATCCTGGCATTTGATACAGCGCCTCTCATCACGTCTTCTCGACGTCTCAAAGAGCTTCACAGAATATACCGTAAAGCGAATTGACCGCACGTTTGTGTGTGGGGCGAAGCCTTTGGTTTTTGGCAAAAACAAGAACAGTAATAATCCGGTCACTGCAATCCACGCAATCTGCGCGTCCGTGTGCGCGCGCGTGTGGGGGGGGGACGTGGCTGGCGTGTGCGGGGGGGGGACGTGGCTGTGTGCGCGTGTGTGCGGGGGGGGGACGTGGCTGTGTGTGCGGGGGGGGGACGTGGCTGCGTGTGTGCGGGGGGGACGTGGCTGTGTGCGGGGGGGGACGTGGCTGTGTGCGGGGGGGGACGTGGCTGTGTGTGCGGGGGGGGGGACGTGACTGTGTGCGGGGGGGACGTGGCTGTGTGCGCGTGTGTGCGGGGGGGGGACGTGGCTGTGTGTGCGGGGGGGGGACGTGGCTGTGTGCGGGGGGGACGTGGCTGTGTGCGCGTGTGTGCGGGGGGGGACGTGGCTGTGTGTGCGGGGGGGGGACGTGGCTGTGTGCGGGGGGGACGTGGCTGTGTGTGCGGGGGGGGGACGTGGCTGTGTGCGGGGGGGGACGTGGCTGTGTGCGCGTGTGTGCGGGGGGGGACGTGGCTGTGTGTGCGGGGGGGACGTGGCTGTGTGCGGGGGGGGACGTGGCTGCGCGTGTGCGGGGGGGGACGTGACTGTGTGCGGGGGGGGGACGTGGCTGTGTGCGGGGGGGACGTGGCTGTGTGTGTGCGGGGGGGGGACGTGGCTGTGTGCGGGGGGGACGTGGCTGTGTGCGCGTGTGTGCGGGGGGGAACATGGCTGCGCGTGTGTGCGGGGGGGGACGTGGCTGCGCGTGTGCGGGGGGGACGTGGCTGCGCGTGTGCGGGGGGGCGGAGGGGGGGGACATGTCTCGCCGCGTTCCGCCCGCAAGATACACAGTCACTACGCGTTGCGGTGTCTGGCGCGAAGCGCTCTCGAGCCTAAGGACAGGACAGTGACAGTGGGGCCCACAGACCCCCCCACTCCCCCCCCACCCCACCCCCGGCCTCAGAGCCGCCACCTGCTGGTGGGCGCCACGTGGGCCCACAACCCGCAGGAAGTTGAGGTCATTGTTCTTTTTTTTTATCAATCAGTCCGTCAATCCCCCGCGTCCGCTCCCTCCCGCGCTTTTCCGGTTGCCTTAGAAACGGACCAATCAGCAGCTGGCTCCGCCCTCCGCTGCCAAAAAAAAATGAGGCCCCGAATGGATCCAATCAACGAGGGCGGTTCACACCCGACCCGCAAACCAACCAACCAACCAAACGCTTCGGCTCATACCTGCGCGGATTGACCAATCAGCGCTCGCGGCCGGGGTCACGTCCCACCCCTCGGTGGGCGGGGACCGGAGGTGCGGGTGACCAATCGGAGGCCGGGTGACGCCGGCTGAGCGGCGGTTTGAATCGCGGTGGCCGTTGGCGGGTCGGCAGCTCGCGCCCGAGGGGGGAGGAGGAGGAGGAGGAGAAGGGGGGAGGGGTGGGGTTTGAAAGCCGTCTCCCGCGCGCCCGAGCGCCAACCGTCGCTGGTCGGCGAGGAGCCGTCCGTGTGGCGGAGGAGGAGGAGGAGGCGTCCGCCGCCGCCATCTTTACCGCCGCGTTTTTTTTTAACGGTGTACCTCATCTCTCCCTGACCCCGGAGCCGTTAAACGTGGGGTGAAAGCCCTCCCGCCCCCGCCCCGGGGTAGGTTACCGGCCCCGTTATTTTTTTTTCCCTTTCACCTCATCTTTTCCCCCTTCCCCGCCGATGGCGGAGACCGGCGCCGCCGCCGCCGCCGCCAGGAGTTTCCTGGCCGATTCCTCCGGCTTCGATTCGAGACTGGCCGACGCCTCCAGGGAGCTCCTGTTCTCCGGCAGAGTTTCGGGCATCGTTGAAGGTAACCCCTCAATCTTTCCCCCCTCTCCCCCACCTGTCCCCCCCTCCCCCCCCCCCCCCCTCTCCCCCACCTGTCCCCCCCCTCTCCCCCACCTGTCCCCCCCCCCTCTCCCCCACCTGTCCCCCCCCTCTCCCCCACCTGTCCCCCCCCCCTCTCCCCCACCTGTCCCCCCCCCCCTTCCCCCACCTGTCCCCCCCCCAGGTTTGCAGTTAACTCAGTGCAGCACCTGTGTGGGCAGAGGGGGAGGGAGGGAGCGCGGCCTCGCTCTGCAGTGCGAGTGCAACAAGTGTTGGTGTTTCCCGAACAAAGCTGCCCATTGATGCCCCCCTCTCCCCCCCTCCCCCCCCGAATGCGACTCCTCCCGCAAATGGGTCCCCGCAAATCAACTGCAAGCGTCGTCGCCGTCGCCTGAGAGGCCTGGGGGAGCCGATACCACCACAACTTTTAAGAGAGAAGCAGATAATTAGTTGGGGAGGAGCAGGGATATGGGGGGGGAGTGGGGTTGATCAGGGCTATGGGGAGAGAGTGGGGGAGTGGGGTTGATCAGGGCTATGGGGAGAGAGCGGGGGAGTGGGGTTGATCAGGGCTATGGGGAGAGAGCGGGGGAGTGGGGTTGATCAGGGCTATGGGGAGAGAGTGGGGGAGTGGGGTTGATCAGGGCTATGGGGAGAGAGCGGGGAGTGGGGTTGATCAGGGCTATGGGGAGAGAGTGGGGGAGTGGGGTTGATCAGGGCTATGGGGAGAGAGCGGGGGAGTGGGGTTGATCAGGGCTATGGGGAGAGAGCGGGGGAGTGGGGTTGATCAGGGCTATGGGGAGAGAGTGGGGGAGTGGGGTTGATCAGGGCTATGGGGAGAGAGTGGGGGAGTGGGGTTGATCAGGGCTATGGGGAGAGCGCGGGGGAGTGGGGTTGATCAGGGCTATGGGGAGAGAGCGGGGGAGTGGGGTTGATTTGGAAGCTCTTTTCAAAGAGCAGCACAGACGCGATGGGCCGAATGGCCTCCTCCTGTGCTGTACAATTCTATGATCGTAGCTTCTGCATTGCTTCAAATGCAAAGATTTTTGTCTTGTTTGGGTCACAGCCTTGGGAGTGATAAAAATTCACTGGAAATTGCAGACCGTTGATCTTATAATAAAGGGCAGATTTGGAAGTCAAACTAATAAAATAAATATATAGTTTTCTTTTCAAATTGGGATAGTTTGCTGTTCTTGATTTTTAAGCTTTTTTTGCTTGTTTTCTAAAGTACTTTATTGTAGTATAGCATATAATAATAACCCTTGCATTTGATATAGCGCTTTTCACGTCTTCGAGACGTCTCACAGCGCTTCACAGAATATGCTGTAAAGTGAATTGACCGTATATTTGTGGGCGAACGCGGCAGCCAATTGCGCACAGCAATGTCCCACAAACAGTCGTGGATTAAAAATAACCAATTTATTATTTTTTGTTTTGGAGGGATTATTTATTATGGAATGTAATATTTCACCCACAAATATACAGTCAATTCACTTTGTTGGTACAAATATCTCTTGTACTTTACTGAAATGTATCCCAGGGCACAACATTTTATTTATGCTTTAGATACAAGTAAATCCATTTTATGTTTGAAAGCATTTGCAAAGTAAAAATCAACACACAAATATAACATTGTTTCTCTTTAAACTAAAATATTTATAAAATGTTGCTTTGAGATGTCTCAAGACTTGATAAGGTTCTATATCAAATGCAAGGATTATTATTATTCACTGATGAAGTTTTTCTCAGTTCTTGTATTTAAATCCACAAGCAAGTAGTACACATTGAATCAACCAAGATTGCTTTTATTTATGTTACACAAGTACTTGGTTTCATATAGCTTTAAAGTATGAGCTTAATCACATATCAAATCAGTCCTATGTGAAACTCAGTTTTGCAGACCTGGAGGATCCCAACTTTGATCCACGTTCTGCTGAATCAATTGGTTTTGATGAGAGTGATGGTTGGATATGCCTTAAGTTGCCTCAGCACCTCTAACTGGGAAAGGAAAAATACAGTTATCTCTTTATAGTCCTGATGACTATTCAGTAACCTCTGCTGGAAGGTTCACGCGATATTGAGATGGGATGGGATCACACTTAACTGTGATGCTTCTAAAGACCAAATGAACTCCTGTCACTTGTTATGTAATCTAACCTATTCTAGAATGCACACTTTAGTGAGGTATTGGGTCGCGCTTTAGGATCATACCCTGGCATAAATCAGAGCGATCATTGAAAGGAGTACAAATGTTTGTAAGCTTTGTTTTCTTTTTCACAGATGTACCTCCGATTGAAACTAGAGTTGTTTTGGCTGGAGAAACTGGAAAGAATGAAGATCTTCTACAAGCTTTGCAGGTAATATTTCAGACTGAAGACTAAAATATTTTTTTTGATGTTTAAAGCATGATTTGTATTTAGGGTTCATTTAAATGTAATCATCCTCAGCCACCCCAGTTACTTTTGCAACATTTTTTGTCATTAACAATGTTAATAAGAGCAACAATAATGGTGGGTGAAAAGGATGCATCTTTTTAACTAAAGGAATTTTTTATTGCATCACTTGCTGCTGATATTTCTGCTTTGTATATAGCAAATACGAGGGAAAACAATTGTGGTTCTGATATTTTCTTTGGTTTTTACAACAAATTAGGAATTGAAGATTTCCTTCATTAAGTCAGAAGGAGCAGAAGATTTTGGGCATGAAGAAAACGCTGAATTTGAGACACTTTATGTCTTGGGGGAATTCGAAGGTCAAATTTATGACACCTTGCGCAAGACTGATGGTAGAATCCTGGGACCTCCTGTTGTGCTTCACTGTGCTCAGAAAGGAGAGGTAGGGATGGATCTCAACAGAACCTTCGGTGTTTCAAACCATGTGATAATTGTAAACCTTGACGTATTCATTTTAAATTGGGAGAGGCATATAATTGGGACAAGATAAAATATTAACTGGTTGATAACATTTTAGATTTCTAAAAGTTGCAGGATTGGCACATTTTTTTAAAAAAGCTGTTGAATCAAGAGGAGTATTTGGATGTCAAATTCTGATCTAGAGCACATGCTTGTGCTAACCCTTTGTTTTGACCTTTCAGCAGGGTTTTGTATCTTTTATGGAATTGCAGATTAGGTCTGTCAAATCAAATTATAGCTACAATTTATTCCTGTTTAAAATCTTGGTATAAAGCTAAGTGTGAATTTAGAGTGGAGACCATCTAGCTCATTGTTCTACAATAACAAAAGATAACATTTTTCAGCCATGATAATCTTCTTTCGGATTTTTACCAGTTGATAAGGCGCTGTATTTGGTGATCAATTAATTCCTACCCTTATTTTTATATTAAAAAAAACTTCTTGGCATCCTGAGAACTGAATTTAATATCTGTTATCTGATATTATTATTATTATTTGTTTTTGGTTGTATGTTGTATATGGGAGTTAGCATTATGACTATTCCGATATGGTAATTTAGCAGTCTATTAAAATGTTGTAATTAAGCTTCTTGCTCTATTTTCTATTATTTTTCTCCCTATTTTCCTGAAGCCTTTGCCTTTCACATCGCGGCCGCTGTACTGCACAGGCATGCTGAATCTCGTCTTGTGCTTCACAGGATTCAGGAAGGAGAAGTTGGTAAGATAAAAGTTCTACATCATTTAACCCGTTTTTGTCAATATTATATATTAAGTAGAAGACATTGTATTTGGATAGCTATGGATGTGAGGGACTTTTCCAACCTCTACATGAATTTATGAAAATATTTAAAGTCTGGCATTTTCATAAAAAACAATGAATCAAGAATGAATTGTCAAGAAAATATATAAGTAGCTTTTTGCACGGTGAGATTTGTTTTCAATAGAACCTCTGAAAATGCATTGCCTCTTCCTTGTTGTAGCCCGGGTGCAGGAGTTAATTTCAAGAGCAAAGTTCCTTTTAACTTGCTTTTATTTTCACTCGCAGCTTAGTCTTGTTACCCTGGTCCATCATATGGGAGGAACCATCCGTAAAGAATACACTGGGAAAGTTACGCATCTTGTTGCAAAGTCTACTCAAAGTGACAAATTCAGGGTAAGTGTTTACCCAATTTCCTCCCATTCTTGTTAAAAATAATTTTTAATCTCCAAATTCAAGTAGTGATGCAGTTTAAAGATATTTTAATGTTTATATAATAAACATTTGTGTTTGGAAACCCCAAAACCTTTTAAAAAAACACAAAAAATAAACGAATGCCTGGGATATCTGTAATGTATTCTTTGGATATCCTTTGTTTTCAGATCGCTGTGAGCATGGGTACACCAATCATGAAAGAAGAATGGATTTGCAAAGCTTGGGAGAACAGAAATGAATTGTGAGCATTTGGGTTGATTTTCGCATAGTTTCTTTTATGTGCACATCTTGCTGACTATTATAATGTAAATACTTTCAATGTAATGTGATGCATTTGGATTGAGACTTGAAAAACAATTCTACCATTTAATAATCCTTGCATTTGATATTGCGCTTTTCATATCTTCTAGACATCTTAAAGTGCTTCACACAATATCCTGTAAAGTGAATTGACTGTATATATTTGGGTGAAACGCGGCAGCCAATTGCACGCATTTATTTTAAAACAAAATGTTGCGTAACATCTACTTGGGGTTTCAGAGAAGGGTCATTTTTTTGTATACATGACCAAAAGTAGCAGGCACCAGTTGAGTTAACTTATCTTTTCTGATCAGAGTAGACAGAGAAGAAACCCAAACTTTCAGTGTATGTTAAAGTGGGAGCAGATAAATTGCCATATTGTCATATTCCTAAGGGTAGCGTCCAAAGTAAAAAAAAAAAATGGGCTTTACATCGTATTACTGAATTTAGCTTTTCTGTCCCCATAAAACGCACGTAACAAAGGGTACTTTATAAGTATTTTAAGCCAAAGATAGCCTTTAGCTTAGTGCACCAAATTTAGAAGCTTACACCCAACTGAAATGTATATACAATTTATCTATATTCTGTGTAACTTTAACTCGATCAATGTAACCTTATTATGGTCTTTTCATTTTTGTGTTACAGTGGATTCCATGCTGCAGGTGCCGAGTTTCAAAATGGGTTCAAAGTCCTCCCTTTCCACGACTGCACGCTGAGCTTCATTGGGTTCTCGGATGAAGAAATGAGAAGTATGGAGGAAATGACAGAAATGCAAGGTCTGTATTGGGCACAAGAGAAAATACTTGCCATTATGCTCAATTTTGAATAGTTCTCCACAAGATAAAGGAAGTTGTTGTCAAAATGAAGTTAATTACTGACAAATACTTTTTTCAGTCATTTGACTTCTTCCTGCATCTTCTGATTACCATAGAAATGTCAATATTTTTCACCTTATGAAACTGGTTTGCTCACTGGCAATTCCAAATGAGGAGGAGGTTATCCCCATAAAGGATAGTCCATTTTGTTTACTAAATTCTGAGTAATCTAATGTAGAATAAATTTAATTTGTAAAGTAGCTGATTTATATTAGAAATTAACAATTGAATAATGAATATAAAAGAAAATTGGCATCTTATTTTTTTTCCAGGAGGAAGGTACCTGCCTCTTGGTGATGAAAAGTGCACGCACTTGGTGGTTGAGAATACAGTGAAACAGTTGCCCCTTGATCTATCCCAAAAACTGTTCATTGTGAAACAGGAGGTGAGAAGCATTTTCAATTTAACGGTGTAATGGATTCCAACAATTCCTTGGCTGCAGGGCTAACATAATTTGACCAAGAGATAACTTGGATGTTCTTCTGGTCCTGTAACTTTTCCTGTTGGCAATCCTTTTCAATGGTAGATCTGAGGCCAGAGGCATTGCATTGAGAATTTGTGGTGGATATTTGAGTCCTAGCATTCTTGTGGTAGATAGATTTCTTATTGCAAAAGGGATTAAGGGATATGGGGATAAGGCAGGGTCAGGGTATTAGCTGGAGTTAGATTAGAAGATCAGCCATGACTGAATGGCGGGGCAGGCTCGAAGGGACGAATGGCCTACTCCTGTTCCACAGCAATGAAGATCCAGTTGTTTTTAGTACTGTTTTAGAAGTTACATGGAATCACCAATGTGAATAGTGATGATAATCCTTTTTTATATGTAATATTTTATTTTTATATTGTTATCTTTATAATATATAGTAGCTTTGTAACATTAATGTTTTTACTACTTAAATGTTTATAGAATAAAATTCTTTTTTTCCCCTTAATTTTAGTGGTTTTGGGGAAGTATACAGATGGATGCCAGAGCTGGAGAGTCCATGTATTTGTTTCAAGAGGTAATTCAAACCAAATTAACCAATTTAACTCTGACCAAATTAATGTTTTCCTCCAAAGATGCGCATGGCTAAAATGATCCTTTCCTTTTTGAATTACAGTCAGAAAGTCCAGCCCTTAAGAAGTCTGTGTCTTTGCTTTCACTGAACACACCAAATAGTACACGTAAAAGACGACGTTTGCGAGACACATTGGCTCAGCTTACGAGAGAGACTGACAATCTTTCACCTTTCCCACCGCGGAAACGACCATCAGCAGAGGCTTCCATTTCAATGGGATCTTTACTGGATATCTCTAACACTCCAGAATCTTGTGGAGGTTGGTTAAGTCAATGGAATTAAGATGTCATAAATTGTTATATCCATTATATCGAAGCGCTCTGTGATGCCGTCCGGCGTGGAGGGCGCTATATAAATCCAAGTTGTTGTTAAATAATGCATCAGATTTTTAAAAAGATGAGTTTTGTGTTAAGCTCCTTAAGTTCACCAAGTAGGAGAATGCATCCTTGATTAAAGCCCTAGATTTGAAGATAAGATATTAATATTCAGAATGAATATATGGACATTTAAAGCGAAAACTTCCAATGTATTACTGCTCAAATCTGGCAGATATTTGCTTGTTTGTCTTTCAGAGAATGCAGTGACCAAACTAGTGATGAGGCATAGAAAGAATAGACAGCAGCAGGTTGGCAAGCATTTACAGAAGTGGAAAGCTCAGAGATGGCACAAACCAGGAAAGCAATCTGGCAGCCTTATTGATGATAACAAGTCAGAAATAGAACATGGCAATTTTCTAGAATTTTTTCAGCAAAAGCATGAAGAATCTGATAGTTACACAATGAGCTTCTTGAGTAGCAGTCCAGAGGGGAAGCAGTTTGAAGACACACTTCAGGTTAGGAATGCAATGGAAATGGGAGAAATCTCCCAAATTACTGTGGCAAGCACTGCCTTGGATAATACCGTAGTAAGTGATTTAGAAGCTTCTGTCTGCCCAACAGAAGCCTTGGCTATTCAGATCGATGAAGAAACTTTATGTCAGGACAATCATGCAGAGAACAACTTTGCACATGCTAATAGGCTTACTGATGTATCGCGATTGCTTGATCTCGAATTGATGACAGGCTTTCAACAGAATGGTTCTGTCAGACATGTGGACACTGTATGTTGTGCTCTGGAAAAGATGCTTCCAAGCCATGATGATACTCAAGATAAAGATGAGGATCTTATGTTCCAGCAAAATGTTAGTCCACTGTCTAATGTGGTTAACGAGGCACCAAAGGAGTTGGAGACAAAGTTTCTCGAGGATCAAATGCAGGAAAACTTTCAGGGTAGCATGGAATTCGAACTAAATGCTATGACTGAAGACTCATCTTCCCTAGAAATGTCCTCAGTCTCTGAATGTTCTATGGCTAAAAGTTTTATTAACCTTTGGGATGTCAGTACAATTTATGCTTCAGGTAGGGATGTCCATTAATATAGATTCCTCCAAACTCATGTAATTATTTTATAATGGTATCCAATACAAAGCAATCCATGAAGGTGTAATCTGTTTGTTTGCTGTGCTTAGTGAAGCATAAGCTTCAGTGTTAAAACTTGAGCGTTTTCAGTTATGTTGCTGAATAAAGTGGAACTTCATGTTTTGCTTGTGGGGAGGTGAGGAGAACAGTAGAAAATAATATTCCTCCTTTGCGTAATACAATGGAGCATGGTTATAAAATGGTGGTAGGAGTCCTTATAATCCTAACCAGTTGCAATTTCTAGTCAACGTTTCAGTGTGTGTACAAAACACTGATGATGGCTGGAGCTCAAGAAGTCAAAACTATTGACTAGGTTCCACCACCGAAAATGACTTTATGACCAGAGAGTACCATTTTGGGCTACCAAGCGCTGACAAAGTCAATGCATGTATTTTGGATGTTTGTCGGGTTTGTGAATGGTGGACTCCACACCCCAACTATGAGTCATAATGTAACAACGGACTCTCTAGTGGGTTCTCCTGTATTCACCAATAAAATCAAACCTTGTATTTATTCTAGAAACGCCGAAGTCCAGCNAAAAAAATTTGAAATATTTATTGGGAACTCATGCCAAGCAATCTGCACGGTGGCAGGTTGCCATGGAACTGTACCAGACGGAGAGCAACTATGTCAATATTTTAACAACCATCATTCAGGTAAGGTCATTATTCAATACAGCATGGGTTTAATTTAGACCCTGCACTCTTCCTTTAAGAGATTTTATGCAGGAATGGTCTTCTAACTGTATAAAACATAGTAGAGTCATTTTTTTCCCTTCAATATTTTACTACGGTTTTACCCCCATAAATTTGTTGACCCTGTAGAGTCAAACTTTAATTACAGATAAACACATGGACACGCATATTTCTGCAGGACTCTTTTGCTCCAAATTTTATACCCCAGTGTTAGCAGTGATCCAGTATTAGTACAGGCAATCAACTCTACCTTGCTTGGTACAGAAATGGAGACAAGAAATTGAAAACTACATAAAAGTTTTATTTATTTAATTTGTAAGTGGACTTGATTGCTTTTTAGTTGTCAAACAATCTAATCTTTTAATGGTTTCAGTTATTTAAAGTTCCTTTGGAGACGGAGGAGCAGCTTGGAGGACCTATTCTTGCACAGGAAGAAATAAAAACCATCTTTGGCAGTATTCCAGATATTTTAGACGTGCACACAAAAATGAAGGTCAGTGAAACATTGTAATAGAATACATTACAGCTTGGATATCCATTTCTGGCAAATTTGAAGGCGATTGAACTCCACGTTGATGAGTTATGACTTCTGGAAACTAAATAACATTTGTGTCTCTTGAAATCAGGGCAAGTACTTTTTTTTTATCTGCTGGCCAGATCTCAAGTATACTCGCTTTAGCTTCAGGAGACGTCCAAGGTATTAACATTTGTCTCTGGGTTCAATCTGGTCAAGCTTTGGGAAATTCTTGAGCTACTGTAAATGGTCATCTCATATGTCAATTCAAAGAAGAACCAATTTTCAGTCAAATATATAGTGACTCTGTCAGTGAAAGTGGAGAGAGTGTTGGAATGAAGAAAATATGGTTCTAAGGTTGTAGCGGATGGGTTTGGAAAAGGACAGTGTTTGATTACTGTACAGGAATTCCAATTAGAGGATAAATTATGGAAATAATGAAGGGCATGTTTGGACATCAGTAATCTTAACTTTTATAGCACTTTCTGAAATCTATTGCAACTTCTGTATTTTGTTTTTTAAAAACCCATAGGCTGATCTTGAAGAACTTATGATCAACTGGTCAGAAAACCATAGTATAGGCAACATTGTTCTACGATATGTAAGTATTGAGATTTCTGAAATTTAATCCAAATTATATATTTGGAGATATTTGTTGCAAAACTATAATTCTTAGTACTTAATATGGAATGAAAGTTTTTTTGTTTGTTTGCTTTTGATTTAGTCTAAGGAATTGGTGAAGACCTACCCAACATTTGTGAACTTCTTTGAAATGAGTAAAGAGACTATTGTGAAGTGTGAAAAGCAAAAGCCAAGGTTCCATGCCTTTTTGAAGGTACAGACTTTTAGTAAAGCTTTTGCATATTCTAGTTTAAGAGGTATGTATGGTACTTTTAATTTTTAATGGTATGAATACTCGAGATCAATGCCATCTTTGACACCAATTTTGTTGTACAGCTGTGCTTTATAATTTGAGGCTGCTTCCAAATTCAGTCCTTCTAGGATATAAGTATGTTTTTTTCTTTTGCTGCAACATTAAAATATTTTTTGTTGTAGTTTAGATAATGAGTCAGTAAATGAAATGACCATTGCAAAGGTGGCCAGTAACTTTGTCTTCTAGTCTGCTTTTTGAAAGGGAAGTGGGAGAGGCCATTGTTAACATGACAGTATCTGATGTCAGGAGTGATGTCTGGATGACATGAAATTGGGGATGACTTCTTGTCTTTGGTCAAGGGATGCAAAACCTGCTGGAAGAAACACCAAATATGGCTCAGGCTTTAAAACTGGAGTTGAGGGGAGGGGGTATCAGAAAACGGAACACAGAGCTGCTGGGAGACAGCTTGGGGTCTTATAGATTAGAGGAAATGCTAACACCGGCCTGATGGAAACTCCCCATCCAATCTTCCCTTGGCTGCAAGCAGTTATCTGACTTCAGATAAGCTTCCCTGATTCACACAATGTGGATCAGGATCGCTGAGGTGTGAAGAATCAATAGAACTTGTCCCCTTTTTTTCCCCACTTCTCCCAATGGAACTAAGTTGATATTCTAGTACAGTGCCACAGCACAATATTGTACCATCTGCGTGTGAAGTGCAGGACCTTATATTAGTCTTGATTTAAAATGACTGCAGATTGAAAATTAAGTAGATTATTTTTTTGCCTTTTCTTTTGCCTATCTTTTTTTTCTTAACAGATTAATCAGGCTAAACCTGAATGTGGTCGCCAAAGTCTGGCTGAGCTGCTTATACGTCCTGTGCAAAGGTTGCCGAGTGTTGCCTTGCTCTTGAATGGTAACGGGAATCTGTATTTTAAAGCTAAAAGGCTTCTTACAAAAATGTTAATTAGCTTTCATTCAGTGTGTTTATAGGGTCTATTCAGAGCCCTGATTTTCTCCATTTTTGATTCTCTTATATTTCAGTAGGCTATAATATCCTTGAATTTGATATAGCGCTTTATTGTATCTTCGAAATGTCTCAAAGCGCTTCACAGAATATACTGTAAAGTGTAGTGATTATATATTGTGGGCGAAACGCTGCAGTCAATTGCACACACCAGTGTCTCACAAATAGTCAGATTTAGTAACCAATTTTTTTTTAAGTGATTATTATCCCCAGAAAAGCCAGCAGAGTTTATGTGCTTTTTTTAAAAAAAAACTTTATTTTCCAGATCTTCGAAAACATACTGCAGATACAAATCCTGACAAAGTAACATTGGAAAAAGCTATTGAATCACTAAAGGAAGTCATGACGTAAGCTGACTTAAATAGAATGATAAACCAGCCATTGTTGATGAGCACTTAAATATAATACAATGTCAACCCTTAAAACAAAGTCATCAGTTATAGCGTAATAAGCGTTTATTTAATTCCTTTTAGGCATATCAATGAAGACAAAAGGAAAACTGAAGGTCAGCGACAAATCTTTGATGTTGTCTATGAAGTAGATGGCTGCCCCGTAAGTATTGGCAGAAATTCTGAATGTGAATAACTAAATACAATAACAATTTGGTCACTCAACTGTTCGTGGGACGTTGCTGTGCGCAATTGGCTATCGCGTTTCGCCAACAAAATATACAGTCAATTCACTTTACAGTATATCCTGTGAAGCGCTTTGAGACGCTTTGCACCATCTCGCAGATGTGAAAAGCACTATCAAATGCAAGGATTATTTATTATTATATTACTTCAAACAGTGTGGTTGGGATTCCAAGCAGTAGCATTTCACCTGAATATGTAATACAACACTGATTCGTAAGAAGAGCTTACAAAATCTTGTTCTTTTAGTCCTTAGATTTAATTTCCCATGATTGTTAGTTTCGATGGCAAACTATCAGCTGATACTTTAACATGTATTGGTATCTCATTACTGTGGATCTTTAAATTTCCTTATTTAAGCTTTCCAACCATAGTGTGGTCACTAATAACTTTCTTCCTTTGCCTTTTTTTAAAATGTAGGCTAACTTATTGTCATCTCATCGGAGCCTTGTCCAGCGAGTGGAAACAATTGTACTCAGTGATGAGTTGTGTGACCGGGGTGAACAAGTCACTTTATTCTTATTTAATGACTGTCTGGAGGTAGGTTTACAGATGAGCCTTGAGAATGCTCTGAGTGTCATTTGTTGCATATATAATTTTGCTCAATTAAAATGCCAACTATGCACATTACAGTAACCAACACTTACCTCAAGATATTTAGTAGCGAGATAACTGCTGAATGCTCTGGAAAGTTAAATCAATTCTATTCAATTTCTTTTATAATGGTCTCTATAATATGAAAAATTCCAACAATAAACTTTTAGATTGGTTTATGTGTACCCTCCTGCAGAATAGAGAAAAGATTGAATTCTCCTACCAATCTATATTTTGCTCTCAAGGTATTAAATCTTTCACATTCATTATTTTTGACTTCATGTCATTTGACTTTGCCATGAATTTCTTTGTTTCAGGTTGCAAGAAAGCGCCATAAAGCAGTCAGTTCTTTCAAGAGCCCCCATGGGTCCACACGCCCTTCTGCTTCTCTCAAGCACATTGTTCTTATGCCACTTTCCCAGATCAAAAGGGTACTGGATATTAAGGAGACTGAAGGTCAGTAAAGACTTGAATTACTTTCTAAACCTTGTTTTTCAGATACTCAATCTGAATTATATGCAACCTGTCCTTTAGTCTCTGCAAAATCCAATTTCTCTGTTTGTAAAGCCCCATTTTATTTATATTTGGAAGTTCAGTATGGGTTGTACAAATCTTCTGATGCATTTGTTTAATATTGAGAATAACATAGCATATTTAAGCATAACATGGAGATCAGTAAATGTGTTCATTTATACCACCCAGGAAAAGGTGTTCTTTGAAGTACATCCTAACGGTTCAGCTTGAAATGTAAGCCTTTTTCGTTTCATGTTATGAAGTTTAATAATTTAAGTTCTGAAATGATGAATTGGTCCTGGTTTCCTCTGTTACAGATTGCCAGAGTGCTTTTGCCCTGGTGGTTCGACCTCCAACAGAACAGTCAAACCTGATCTTCAGTTTTCAGTTAATAGTGGAAGAACCTCAGAAGAGTGACTGGTTAAGGCTGCTCTGTCGGCATGTAGCAAACACCATTTGCAAAGCCGATGCAGTAAGTTTCTAAAGGAGTACGACTGCAAGTGTTTTTTAAATAAAAAGTTCATACAGGTTCTTTTGATATTTTTGCTTTATGGTTTTTTTAAGTGGCATGTTAGTGGGTAGTCCTATCAACCCATTCTTTTGCTTTTCTACATTATTGACCTGTTCCAGTGTTTGCATTTTGCAGACTCACACAAACATCATTTGGGAAGGATACAGTGCCTAAAGAGTGGCATCATTTGATCCTCTGCACTTCATTAAGTCCACTGATTGAGGCAGGATTGTCACTGTTCTTTAAGGTGATCTCAAATCAACTATACTAGTTAACACAAACTTATTTTCCTTGTAGGAAAATATTATTTTAAAAACAGACCCAGAATCTCTGGAGATCAACACTAAGGACATGGATAGTACATTTAGCAGAGCATCGAGGGCACTCAAGAAGACCTCAAAGAAGGTAAAGCCAAGATTTCTTCTCTACATTGCTTGCTTTGGTACAGATTAAAACCGGATTTAAAAGTTTAATTTGTTCTTGCTGTTTGTCTAGGTTACAAGAGCATTCTCGTTTACGAAGACACCTAAGAGAGTACTACAGCAAGCCTTAATGGCCCACAGCACTCCAGATGGAAAGATTCCATCGGCCAACGTAAATTACATAGGCAGCCGTTTAGCCAGCACGGCATCATTAGCGGTAAGAACAAGCATTTGTATAATCCTCATTGGAGCAGTTAGTTAATACTGCTGTTGTGGTATGAATATACAGTGACTAACATGGTCTTTCCAGAGGAATCATCTTAAGAGGGGTGGCATTGAGAGCTTTGACTTACCACTTTCAGCCTGGCACCGTACAGGAGAGTTTAAGAGGGTTTAAGCCCTGTGTTGAACTTAAGTCTACGTTGACGTTCCAGTGCATACCTGTAGAATGTTCATTGCTGGTAATGAAGTCCTGATCAGGTAGATCCCAAACCAATATTTCTCTAGATTAGTTATTTACCTTGTGGTTGGTTGTCAGACCTTGCTGGTGCAAAATGCTGCAAGGTTAGCTTACAAAAATGGTCCCTTAATTGACAGTAATTAGTAGGGAAGCGCTTTGAGCTATTTCAGTATGATCTAGGTTGGTCCTGTTTTACAATAATTTGTTTTATAATCAGTTGAATTTGATAGTAATTAAGTAGTATTTCTCCCACTCTAGATTTCTCGTTCTTCATCTTCAGTTCATCTAAATAGCTTGATGACATCATCTAAGTGTGTAAATGTGCAGCGCTCTAACTCCATGGATGGTGCACCAGTTAGCTCCAGACCTCGAAATAATCTGTGTCCTCCTTCACCAAGTCGCCCCTTTACCTATCTCAGTGTGGACAGTGATTCTTGTAGCTCTGATGCCTCCAACAGCCTCCAGAGCCTATGCAGTTTCTTTGCTTTACCTGCTATGAAAGTTTCTGATGAACAGAAGGCTAAGCTCTCTCTCGACTTCAGCATTCAAAAACAAGGCATTTAAAGCACTGAACTTAAAGTGAGCCAAATGTCTAGTCACATCAATCACTTTTTTGTGTCTGGTATTCCTTCTCACCTAATGCCTGGAATTTGGGATTTAACAGGAGGTTGAAACTAATATTTGGTGAGGGATTATTATTTTGGTGGCTTTAAACATGTACAAGGGGAAATAATTCCTACCATCACAAATTTTTCTCATTAGAAGTTCATGAAGTGTAACATTCTTTCTTTCCAAGTATAGCTACTTTAAATCCTCAGGATATTCTGATTGTACAGTCTTGAGTTTGGACACTGTCCTTCAGTAGAAATGTAGGTTGAGGCTTTTGTGTTTTGCTTAATTTTATTCTGTAGGTAGATAATAAGGTAACTGCAGGCATGTACCAATAAATATTTGCTCCTTTCAATTATATTTTTAAGTCCTTTAAGGTAATCATTGAACATGGTGATCTTGCACACTAAATGCAAGTTTTTGCAAGCAAAATCTTGCACAAGCATTGACAATTTAACAGTAATTTTAATCTTTAGCCAGCCGGAAAGCAGTTGTCACTTTTGAGATAATTTGTTCCCAAACTTGGAATGAAAGAATCTTACCTAGTTTTTCACTATAAAGCATGCTTGTTTGCCCCTCAAAGCTTGTATTTGATATGTCTGCTTTGTTACGTGTGTGTACTGACTTCTCTTTTCTTGAACAGGGAGTGCAATCTCCTTCATTGGTGAGTCTGCCGGCAATGTTTGAAAAAAGATACCACACTTTCAGTCGATCAACAACTCATCTAATATAGAAATACAAACTTTGGATGGTTACCCATCCATGGAAGATTTTTGTATGTCTGTCCACGATATAATCATTGTAAAGTTTTAAATGTGCTCATTAGCTTGAAATGATATATCAAATGTCATTTCATGAGTACAGAGAACTGATGGATTTGTTTCTGTTCCTGATGCTGTTTCTCTACCTGCTTCTGTTTTGCATTTTGATTCTAGTATCCGTTATTTATTGTATTACCTTTTAATGAAACATAGTGCTTGTATCGAATGTGTGCTTTTACTACACACTAATTAAGCTGACTCAGTCTATCTTCTCATGTAAACAGCCGTGAGGTAATTGAAGTCTGTAGCCTTGTGGATAGTTTATAACCATGAATGCTGAACACTAATTTCAAGCTCGATTTCTTAATAAGAATTGTGTTGTAACTGAGAATTCCTTCCTGTAATCTGAAGTACGCCAGAGAATAGACTGCCTTGGAGCAGTGTTAACCGGGATCTGCATGACCTATTTCCAGTTACTGGAGGGAATCCCTATTTTTATTCCAACAGCAATGCTAGAAACCAGCATGTTTGTTTCTTATCTCAGAATATCCGAGCTAGATATTCTAATACACGGTTAGCTGCCTAAATAGTTCAAAACTTTCATTCTTTGTTACAGTATTCTTTAGTCAATTTATTCAAGTGTTATTAACAAAACTATAAAAGTTGAAGTAGCAGTTTTGATATAATTTGAATATTCTGGCTAATGTGGGTGAGTATCTAATTACTACAGAGACAATCTTATTCCCAAACCTTCAGAAATCAGTGGATTTAAATTAGGTTCTGATTAGTTGATTGCTATGGTAATTTAGGATTCATTAAGAATAAATTGTAAAGTTAATCTCTAGAAAATTGCAAATCTATTGCTGTAGCCTTTGTAGTATGTAGTATGTATTTTTTTAAAAAATGAAGTTTATATTTTGAATCTTTGTTATTTTTTGGATTCCGTTTCTTTGCATAAAAGTAACCATACCATGGTATTTTTGTATATTGGGAGGTTTTTATAGTTGAACATCTTGTCCCTGAGGTAGCTGCATGATCAATCACTTCTACTCCAGAGTATATCTTTGTGTCTGCACTTTCTTAGTTCTTTGCAAAAAATCTTGTACTGTTGTATCGTAAATGTTGATTTCCAACATCTACATTACCTTGTCATCAAGATACTATTCTGACTCGCTCTCCCAGCAGAAGAAACATTTTGAGCTGCTAAGTGAAGGATATGCTGAATTACTTATGATTGTAAATTACTTTTATATGGTTCTGTTTCACATCCACTGGATATTATATGCAATAAATATTTTTGAAAAATATATTTTTTTTCAACGTCCTCATTTTAAAATCTGTTTTGAGTCATTGCAGAAGGTGAGAGAAGTCATTCACACTTCAGTCAATTCAGTTTGTTTTTCAACTTGTGAAAGTGAATTATGTAAATAAATCATAGTTTAAGAGAGGTTGATGTACAGTATTGCCAATTGTTCTAGAATGCAAAATTGGTGAGTATTCTGACATTTTTTTTTCCCTTTTAGAGTAAGAAGACTTCTGAGAACAATAACTGAGCTGCATAGCAGTTTGGATCTGGAAATGTGGTATAAATGTGGATGGGCCAAATGAACATTTTGAGGTTCATGCTTTTGTGCATTTTATGATTGGAATACCAAATTTCAGGCTGGAAAGAAAGAGCAAAGTTCTTAATAATCATCTGCCTTCAAGCAGGAAATTGCATTGGACAATTTTCAATGCAGACTTGGGTGATTTTTTGGAAAAAGGGATTTTGAAAGCTTAGGGTTTCAGAGAGAATCTACAACAACATCCCTCAACAGTGATTCCCTTACTGATTGGAAAATTGCCATTGTGAACTAAATCAAATGTTTGAGGTACAGCGTAACAACCTGTTGCGTGACTGCGTACAGTAGTTAAATTGCATTTTAGATGTACAAGTGACTATTTTTGGCACGTGAAGTTTCAAAGCTCTTACAAAGTTTAACCATCTTTTTCAACGAAATAATTTACAACTTATTTTGTAAGAAATCCATGGATTGAATTTTCCAAACTGATCATTTTTAGTTGACTGGTTTGCCAAAAAATTAAGAATAGAGGTTGGTGGTCTCTACTGCAAACTTTTTTTGCAGTAGAACTTTTCGTGTTCTAGTCGATGCTGACCATTATTTAAGATACAGGTTTTAAGGGCTCGGTTCTACTTTGCCTGAAAAAAATACTGGAACACAGACATTGAAGTTCTGAGATCAATTTATTTCTGCTTGCGGAGGTAATGAAATGAGGCCAGGCACTGGGCAAAAAAACAAGACCTTTCTCAAGTGATGCTTGGTTAATTTGAAGATGAGATTTTGTTATCTCTCCTGTCGGCCTGAGTGTGTATCACTGTCCTTCCTCCGGACCTCGCCGTATCTCTGCCTGCCTTCAGATCCCCAGGCATCAAGACCAACTTCTGACTCTTTAGTTTCTTCACTTCTCTTCTTTGTTTACGAGCAGTTTTCAGGGCTTTCGACTTCAAAAAGTTATCTTCCAATTGATAGATGAGATCCTCAATTAGCCCAACCTGTAAATAATCACCCCATGTTTAATGTGCATGAAACACATCCTTCCTCTACAATGCCGATATAAAAATATGTGAACTGTTTAAAAGGTTTGTCTAAACTGAGACATCATTTTACTTCTCAGTCAATCTTTCTATATTTACTTTCTAGGAAATGCCCAATTTTTTTGAAATCTTCAAATAATGCCAAACCGGCCGATTTGAAAGGTCAAAGCTAAATTTCTAAAGCAACATAGGAAAGAAATTGATAAGCACAGTTGTCTCTGACTTGTTTCCAGATCCGAATGCCAATACGCTGATCATCGTGTTCTGTGCTATGATGCAAGTAGTGGGATTTAATATTTTACATGAGCAGAGCAGACACCTTGCAGTATAATGCCTGCCCACACTCAACCCAATAGATATCTGGGGGTCTAAAATGGTGGGAGAACAAGAAGAGATTCTTTTTAAGTGGTGAAAGCAATGTAAAGTAATTTGCTTCCTCATCAGAAGCCTCTTTTAAGCGCAGACATTTAATGCGTGATGACTCGGGACAAAACTTACTATGCGATAAGCGTTACCTTTTCGGTTTTATTCCAAACGCATTCTGCGTTGTTGCGGTTTCCTTCAAGGGTGTCGATGGCATCTGTCATCAGTGAATGCAGCTGTGGTGCAAAGATAAACCGTGTCAAATGTAGGACTCACATGGGTGGGGGGGGAAAAACTTCAAATAGATTAAAGCACAATTCAAAAATATTCATTTAAACATTAAGTGTTCCAATTAATCATCTACCATGGACAATAGCAGTCTAATTCTGACTGCCAGCAATTGGTGATTGGGTTCATTATCTCCGATTTAGAAAGCTTGACAAGAATGACATGATTAGTTCCAATTATGTTTTAATGACATTTAATGCTAAAACTTTACTGCCGCCAACTTTGTGCAACATGCTCCAAAAAAGAACCATTGTTTTCAGTTAATTGCACAAATTTAATGTGGTATTGGAGGAACCAAGATATTACAGTACATCAGTATCTTGGCGGAGAATGGCAGTGAAATATATAATAAATACATTTGGACTAAACTGCAGGTTTAGTGAAGTATATACATGTTGCATATCTAGTTAAATTAGAAATGGAGAGATTCAGGAGCCATGAATATACAGGCAAGGCTTTAAAACTTTCTATTTGTCATCTGAAGTCAAAGGTTGATTGTTCTTTAAATATTTTTTTAAGCAAGACAAATCATATCACGTTCTCGCTCCTCTGCCTTTTTTAAAAAAAGAGAGAAGCAGACAGATAGGTGCTTTTAAACTAAGTGCTCCCACCAGTCTTTCCTTTAAATATGCAATCAAAGGGAGATGGCTTTTATTGTTCTAATGGCAGAAAAGGAACGAGTAACAGGTGGCGTGTTTAGTCCTTTCAAGTAAAAGCTGTATTAAAAAAAAGAAGGATTATTTTTACCAGTTCAATTTCATGTTGACTCATCTCTTGTAGATAGGGCATGGTGGCAAGTTCTGCAATAGTCTGGTTGATCACTTGCGCTTGCTCCTTCATACGCTTCAGTTGACTCAGGTAACTGGCATACTGTAGTTTCTCAATCACACCTGCTCCCGGGCAAATTCCCCCCTGACCCTCATCAAAGGAATACACATTAAAGGAATGATATCAAACACAAAACACATTTCAAAACAAGTCAAACGCTAATTTGCAGCTGGCTATACCCGAACAAGTAGGGGCTAATTGTAAGAACATTTTGAATTGAGGCGGTCCGTTTGTTTCCTAAATTTGATATGATGACTTTGCAACAAGAGAAAAAAAGACTCATTTTGGCCTCGTGGCAGGATTTGCTTTGTTGAAGATAAAGCTATTATTTCAATAATTATTATTTTGAATAAATTGAATATATATTTTCCCAACTGTGGGTAAATTAAAGTTTCAGGGTTGAGCAGGAACAGAGAATTCTATTATGATAGTTTACCATGGATTTCTTCCTTTAGATTTTGTTATAATGAATTGCAATGTATACACAGACATTTCTGTTTTAAAAAAGAAATATTTTCACATTTTTTGTACTTCTTTGACAATTGCAAGTTGTTTAGTCGACCTATATTACAATTGATGCATAAACAGCCACTTTCTCACACAAAAATGAACCAAAGTTTTTTTTCTTCCCCCAAACCAATTACATTTTGGGGAATAATCAGAGGAGAGCAAGTGGGAAAGCAAATCACTTCCTTGCACTTGGATCTGATTCCTGTCACCTGGGATTAGGCGGAATGACCAATCAAGTTAATATTCATGATATTTAAATGCCTTTGGTGAAGGAACTCCCAGTGGATCCCAAATGCAACCAGAATAACCCGATCTGTATCTTGCTGGTAGGAATAGCTGGTATGCATGATTTTTCAGCAGAAATGGTAAGAGCTTGGAAGGAACTTAATCTATCTGTGCTTTCCTGAAGGTCCGTCACAATGTTCTAACTGGTTGAATTGAAAGCTATTTATGGATAATGAGTCAAAATTGTTTTTGAAAAAAAAAAGAGGCTTTGAGAGACTAAAAGATGGAAAACTTTCTTGCTCAAAACTTTAAATCTGAGGCAATTTAAGGTCTTTGCTTATGTTAGAACAACTAATTTAGTTGCATGTGCAACTCAAACCTGGCAATGTACATGCTCTGTGCTAATAATATTATTAATAATAATAATATTTGTTGTTATTTTTGTTATTTATTATGCTTTGCCCACAAATATACAGTCAATTCACTTTACAGTATATTCTGTGAAGCGCTTTGAGACATTGAGAAGATGTGAAAAGAGCTATATCAAACGCAAGGAGTATTAATGCGGTGAAAGAAGATAATACCTGAGAGTTTGGGGTTTATCGGCTCCCCTTTCTCCTCGATGAGCCAAATACTACGGGCCAAATCCTTCCCCTATTGATCTCAGTCACAGTGCTTTGGAAGATGGCTCTCGAATTGTTTGATAGCTCGGTTTTATTTTTACACCAGATTGCTGTTGCTGAGTTCATTCTGTTTGTTTAATTGATTGATTGATTGATTGATCCGGCCCAGGTTTGACTAATTTAGTTGTTTCATTCCCCCAGCAAGGTTCTCAAGCTACCTTTGGTGTCGGGTGTACTCAGGCTTACCTTTTGCAAACAGCTGGTGAACTTGGTGTGTAAACAGAGTGCTGTGTTGGAGACTGTATATCCACTGGCTGTTTGGCTCGCCTCCAGGAACCCTTTCTATTACAAAAGGTTGTTGAAGAACCACATACAGATCAAATACATTTTTTTTTAAAAAAACGTACAACAATTTTGGTTTGTAATCTCGCAAGGGATCAGAATTTCAAAAGCTCATATCGACATTACCAGACATTTGGCGAGAAGTGGGTAAAAAAAAAACACTGAAAAAAGCTTCTTTTTGACTTTACTGTGTATTTAGATCTTGTGCCAGAAATCGGACAATCCAATGGAGCAAATCAGTGGATCTCTGCTCCAAGGGATTTCCACCTTCTCCACCAAGAGAGTGTGTGTGTGTGGGTGTTTTGTTTTGTGTGGCGATCTATTCTCCACTTATTTGTCTGTTACAGTCTTGTCCTTGTTGCCTTATATGCTTGGGACCTGATGTCTGAGCTATGAGTCATCTTACACTGCCCCCCCATCTTTCTCAGTTTCCCTCCTGGCAGGTTCTGTCTATTTGTCGAGGTCAGAGGCAGCACGAATGGTACTTCCTATATGGGGTATCTTGCCTTATATTGAATTTAAATTATTGGAAATTACATTCCATTTTACATTCGCTCCTTCGGTGCCAACCTCGTTGACGATACTGATGTAGAATTAAACGCAAAAGAAGAATTGGTTGATATTAATTATGGGGGTGGGGAGGGGCAAAGGACAATACTGAGTGCAAGAGGTAGATATGCAGAACAGCAGAAACAGTTTCAGATGGATAACTATATTCTGTAATTTTCCCCAAATGAATGCCCAATATATGGTATTTAAATGGAATGGATTAAGAATGGGTCCCAATGGATTAAGAATCATTTCTTCTAATATAGCATTTATGATGATCTGAGAAACAAAACTGAAAATTAAATTCCCTTTATCAAACCATGTACTTGTTATCAATAAATGGTGCTTTGTTCGATAAATTGGAAATCAATTGATGCAGGAGAAATGGTCAACATAAACTCGTTCATTATAAATGCCCTGAACAACAAGAATCTTGTTTGCTGAATAACAGGAGTTGTTTTCTTTGAAACCAAACAACATGACGTGTACTACCAACAAATAGCGAGACGATTTATATTGTGGTATACAAAAAACATTGTAGAATTGAAAATTACAATGGAAACTCACTAATCGGGTCAGGAAACAGACGGAAGGATTTTGACCACTTTTGTGTGTTGGCCTCACTCGTGAGTTTGTATTATACAATTTAGTGCTGAAATGAATAAGACAGCAAATGCACAAAACAATGATCATGTAAATGAGTTAACCACATTACTGAGGTGACCTTAAAGTGAGTTTCCACTGTAGTTTCAGAACATCTGTACAAAAATCATCGCAGGAGTTAATTCAAGAGTGAAGAACAGATTTACAAACACTTTACACTGGGGAAAGCAACCCCCAAAAGTTCGCCAACAGTTTTAACCCCCAGTTTATACCATGCGTATGACACAACAGTATATTGCTTTGCAATCTGCAATTTTTCAACTTTGCAAGCGAGTCACCTTGTTTCCACAAGTGTGATGTGGGATAAAACTCCATAGTGATACTTTCACAGCGTGTGATGTGACAGGGAATTACAGTACGCCAACTGTTGAACAAATTACGGTCTCACTTAAACTTTATACCTTTGAAACCAAATTTATTATCATTACTTCAATTTCACGCACGGTATGAACTGCTCACTCCCACCAAAACAGTTTCATGCTGACGCTAACGTGAACTTGACCATAATAATCAACAATTGGCGAGGTCCAGATCACTCATGATATTAATATCACCGTCAATCAGTGGAAGCCAGGAATGCCAGATTTGTTTTATAGCTCAGTTTTGTTTTCCTTTAAAGATGGACTGAAAATTACTCCGTCGCATGTTTGTTTTTAAACCATTTCCCTGTTGTGAAGATTGGACGATCCTCAAAGGCCCTTGAATTGATTTTGTGTTGTTGTTTATCCAGTCTATGTAAGTACATCCTGATGTAAACACATCTTCAAACCCAACATCAAAAAAAAAGTTGTTCCATGAGTCAAGGCAATAAATGAATATACCCACGGCTAGTTTAGTGCACGTTATAAAATCTAAAACTGGCAGAATCCTCCGCCCAAGGATATCCATGTTCTTCTCGACTTCTTTTATAGTAAGTGACCAAAAGGGCGTTTTATACTCTAGAAAATATTAGGAAACAAATTTTGTCGTCTTTCCATTCGATTTTCTTTTTGGGCAACAAACAACCTTATAAAGTAGCTTGGATGCATTTTTCAATCACTTTATTCACTTTTATCACTTTTTTTTTAAACAAATCGCTTAAGCATTTTTAAACAAGTGTATCGGGGCTTACCGGCATTTTTATTTACAATAACAAACAATCACATGGGACCACTGCAGGTGGTGCTATTGCACTGTGTAAAAGTTTCACAAATTATTATTTTTAATGCAACTTCGCCATCTGCTGGCAAAGAAACGGTGCTCAATTAACATAACAAAAATAAACAGTTTGGCTTTGACAAAACTACAATGTCCCTAAAAGGGGTGGGAACCGAATCTGTTTGATCATTATTATAATAATAATATATACGTTACTCATTCTGTTCTTAGTCAATTCCACTTAGTCTCCCCCAAACCTGCAGTGTCCTCCTTGGAGCCCGGTTCCTAGCTTTCAAACAGTAATAATAATATTATAATAATAATAGCTCATGCCTATTCAGCAACTACGTCATCACATGCTGCTTGAAGCTGATGGAAAGTGGTCTCCACCCCTTGTTAACTAATCACCCAACTGGCGGCACAGACACGATGGGCCGAATGGTCTCCTTCCGTGCTGTATGATTCTATGACAATAACTACTCAACTTGTTGGGGTGTTTTGCTGTTAGTTAATGCATTTTGTTCAGCAATCCCGAGAGGCTCTGTGCCAAATTATTCTCAACAACAGGGTTGCCAATGGTACAGTCACTTGATTTTGCCCAGAGGGCTGGCTGTCTTTCCCAAATCCCGATGAAGTCTACACAGTAGGTGAATGTATAGATTGTGATCCACCTGTGGTCCACAGATCCTGTCAGAATGTGTCTGTCTGACAGTATTTCCCACCTAGAGAATGAGCAGGTTTGTGGGAGCCTGTTTGTTTGAAAGCTAGGAACCTGGCTCCAAGGACACTGCAGGTTTTGGGGGAGACTAAGTGGAATTGACTAAGAACAGAAGGAGTAACGTATTCACTGGACTGTACAGTCTTGGTTGCCTATGTTAGATGTGCACTCAGCATGCTCTGTGCGCCTGACTGCACCAATAAGTGAATGAGCATCACAACAGATTGACTGGTGCTGATTTAACGCCTCGCCCCCCCCCCCCCCCCTCCCCTCTCCCCACCCGCCCGCTTTGCAGTAATTATTTGTTTAGCGCTGACTGTGTACCTGTGAATGTTGGTGACCTGCGGCTTACAATCTTTTCTAAGAAGGTGCCATCCTCAGGGTTCTTGAAGCCAAGTAGCAGCATGTAGCGTTGTGGGAAGATTTCAGACCAGTCGACAGTCTGAGGCAGGATATGACTGATGCCAGGGTCTGAAAATATCAACGTTCAATTCATATTTTAGTCTATTTTGACAGAATATTGTAGAGTTCAACACAGCTTTTCGGTAAAAACTGGAAAATTGCAATGAATTCATTTTTTTTTTTTACTTTTGGGGGTGTCAGCTTCAGAGATGGACCCATTCATGAGATGGTTTTGGCTGCTTACAGATCTCAAACCGAAATGTGACCTATTCCCACGTGTGTTCTAAAAAAGATCTCCTCCGTTTCTACCCATAATTAGTTCACTTGTGGAGTCCTGTACCTTAGTGAGGGAGCATGAGGGAAAATATGAGCACTCGCCTCGTAAGTGAGAGACCTGAGTTTGATTCCCGGGCAGAGCGAAATGTTGGGCAAGTTTCCTTACTCCACACGCACTCCTCTGTTTACCGAGCAGCAAGTAAGAACCCGGTTGTTAGCTGATTGGTGTATTGATTTCCGGTGATAATATTTCTTAAAAAAAACAATAATTTGGTGACTCAACCCACGACTGTTTGTGAGACCCTGATGTGCACAATTGGCTGCCACGTTTCGCCCACAAAATATACAATCAATTCACTTTACAGCATATTCTGTGAAACGCTTTAAGACATCTCAAAGACGTGAAAAGCGCTATATCAAATGCAAGGATTATTATTATTAATCATCTGTACTTAACCTGTGCAAAGATCAGATCAATCTTCAGCAATGCATTGCATGGTGTTTACTTTTCCTCCCTCCCTCCTCACCCAGCCTTTGGTAACTTTCTTCCTATCTTCCTTCAACCCCTGCCCCCACCTCCCATCTTACTCGGGTTTGCACAGCAATGCTGCACCTCTTTGAGAAGTCACCTACGTGAAAAAGGCGCTTTATTAATGCAAGCTGTTGTACAGGATCATCACACAATAGCTGTAAAATATAAGATCCACTTTGTACAACTAGTTCCATAAATAATACGTGTGAAGACATCAATATTGTTTAAGGGCCAAACTCGAGGAGGTGAGAATGGTGTTAGGAGCAATAGTCAGTTACCTGCATATAGATAGTTGGCGTAAGCTGGGTGTTTCTTCCTGAAAACCTCTTTTATCTTTTCTATTTGGGCAGCGGTTGGCTTCCCTGCAAACGGTGTGTACATAACTGAAAATGTTTCAGCTTGAGTAATGCCCTCTTCTAACATTGCCTGGTAACATCAAATAGGAGAGGTATCTGGGCTAGATATTAATATGCTACAATAATAACTTCATAACTAATTCAGCGCGTGCAATGATCAATTATTCAGAAACCTTACACATATCCCTGTGGTTGTTTGTCTGTTTTATCATTTATTTCTTAGGTAGGAAATTTGAGCAAGGAGTCTGGTTAAATCTGTACAAGACGTTGGCTAGGCTGCAGTTGGTGTCTTGAATGCCACCCAGTGTTAATGTTACAAAAATAAACTGTAGCTGGGATATATATATATATATCGTATATAATATCTAAGTGAGGGACAAAATGTTACAGTTACACGGAGACATTTGAAAAGTTGGGCGAGTATTTTGCTGGAGCACGCAAGGTTTCAACGGGCAACTTAACAGATAAAAATACTAAGCGGTACCAATCCCTCCCCCAAACGTATTGGCCACTCAAGCCACGACTGTTTGTGGGACTCTGCTGTGTGCAATTAGCTTCTGCGTTTCGCCCACAAAAAGCGTATCCTGTGAAGCGCTTTGAGACGTCTCGACGATGTGCTAAGGCGCTATGTCAAATGCAAGGATTATTATTATTATACCTCCTTTTTCTCAGGAATCTCTGCAGCAGACTTCGCCTTGTAGGAGAAGTGAAGCCACTTGTTAATTATAGGTTTCCAGAATTCCAAATGTTTTTTTTTTTGATAGGATAAATTGAGTTACAAGAGATCCTAGTTAAAGATCACCAGAAGGAAAAAGGAAGGGGTTTTGAAGGATTTTTTTTTATATAGAAAAAAATTCTATATGGGTCAGAATTTTTGAGTGAGTACCTAAATAAAAAAAAGTAATGCCTTCCTTTACCTTGGCTGTTGAAGCCAACCAAACCCATTACAAGATTTAAAAGAAAATTTGTTGGATATTTGAAGGGGGGGGCGAAAAAAAGACAAAAGATTGTGAAAGCTCAAGGGAATGGGATCAATGCAAACCATTGCGATAGGGGAGAGAGCCCAGGTGCGCAACGGGTTTGTAGGGCCTCAGTCTGCGCTGCGGTGTTTCCATCAGAACTTACCTTAACTCACAGGAAGGAAAGAGTCAAAATTGAGGGATTATGTTTTCAGCCCAAATAACATTCAGCTAAATAAAGGACTCTGTGAATCGCAAGAACCAGCTATGTTTGCAAAATATCTCAAGTTCAGTTTCCCAAATGATGGTGTTTCCATGGTTACAATAATCTAAGATAATTAAAGGCTTTAGACCCACTTTTTTTTTTTGAGTGTTAGAAAATACCAATTTACATACATTTTAAGTTTATTTCGGGACAAATAGCTCGGTTTGTCAGACCTGACCACTGGCAAAGATTTTGCTTAGTGGCGTAATCAGAGGTCACTTACTCTGATCAAGAATAGCGCTCAAATAAAAAAAAAACAGCTGTTGTAGGGAATGGTAACTGTCCTCATTCGGAACGCACGTTGTCTTTTTTCTTATGCTAACAAAGAAACCCGTGCAATACAGTAAATCCTGTGGCCCCCTCACCCTGCGATCTTCTGCAACCGAGCACTCTGGCCTCTCCCTCTGGTCAGCTTCATGCCTCCCCCTGATCTGCCTCACCACCGGTGGCCAAGCCTCTGCCCTGGACTCGAGACCTCTAACCCCAGTAGTCCCTCTGCCTCGCCTTTTCGCTCCCACCTTCCCAGCCGGCCCCTCTTTTAGACCGTCTCCTGTGTCTTCAACCTCCAACCGCTCCAATTAAGCTGGTTAAGATGTCCTCCCAACATGCAGAAGTGAAATATTTAGTGGAGAAATGCTGCCAGGATCCTGTGGGCAACATTTATTGAATTTCACATGTCGCTGCCTTTTGATATGTTTTTCATTTGTTTCACTGATAAATGAAGGCTCTTTGTTGCACTGGTAAATAGGAGTCTGCACACCCATGAGACTCGGAAACCTTAGCAAACTCTAGTGACAGCACAGGTTTAACATCTGAAGTAACCATTTTTTTTTGTTGGCACTGTAAGGCAATTTATCTGCTGTGAGACCAAAATAAAATGAAAGTGGCTGAGAGGCTCTCTACTGTGCTTCATTAAAAAGCTTTTGTAGATTTATACAAACAGCGACTACAGATGTTCATAAACCCTAATGCTTATTGCGGGTTATTCCATATAAAATCGATTCTTACAAGTTCCGACAGACTGGTTGACGGGTTGTTTTTTGGGCAAGCTGGTGCGCTTGCTATTAGGCTACACTACATTTTCAACATTGCATTGGCTACAGAATCTTTTGCAATAATTCATCAGTATTTTACTCCACTAGCGATTCTGTTCGCTCCTCTTTCGCGTATCAATCCTCACCTGCCAATAAAGTTTGACATGTTTGCTGATGTTCTGTTCCTTCGCTCCATGCAGCCAATAAATGTAGTCAGCAATCATAGCACTCCTGATGCATAAAACAGAGCACACAGACAAAATAATGCTTTGCATAGGGCAAAGACTTGCAACACCACAGACTTTCAAACGCTGCTGTCCTTGGGAGCCAAGCTGGATGTTTTTATTTGCTGCAGAGATCTTTTGATGGATTGTCACCGGGATAAGAATTCACAGGATCTGCTGTTAATGAGGGCGCTGAAAGCACTTTACAATAAGTGCTAACGTGTTCATCACTGTATATCAGAATAACAATGGTCGAGCTTTTCGTCCTTGGTCAGCAATCCCGCACGGTACTAATGTATAGAAATTGCTCCAAAGAACTATTGTGAGCAGATAAAATCATTCAGCAGCATCTCTTATTACTCTTAGTGGTAGTTACTCCACAAAGTCGTGGCTCTGAACCACAAAGAATTTATTTTGTATGTGTTTTGTTTTTAGCATGTGGCGTCCTTAACTTTGAACGGTGTCCTAAGGTTCTCTGATGCCGATTTGCCTAAAGAATTTTCACACCCGCAATATTAATTTTCATTATTTAAAAAAAAAACTGGTATCATTGCTGTGCGCAATTGGCTGCTGCATTTCACTCACAAAACGTACAGCCAATGCACTTCACAGTAAATTCTCTAAAGCTCTTTGAGACGTCTCGAAGATGTAACAAGGTGCTGTATCAAATGCAAGGCTTATTATTATTGTGATGCTGCCCACCACTTTTTTTTAAACGAATGAGAATATATTTGCTTCCTTAGAATCTTTATATAAAACATAAAACACTTTTTGTCCCACTCGATTCCTTCTTTTGCCACTAAATCTGGTGACCTTAGTGCGACCAGTATCACTGTGACTGATTTTTCACGGACCCACTTGAAATAGACATTGTCTATTTTTGAAACGGCTTCCGTTTAACTGCGGTAGCAGTTTTTTTGGATGTTCTTGTTAACTATTAATTATGCACGCATTCTTTCCATCAATGCCGTTATTCAAGAACAGAACTCGCGTCTTGCAATCGTATTCGCTATTTTGGGAATCGGGGATAAGCATCTTGCCGAGTTAATTTTCTAAAGATACGTCGCAAAGAGTGGCGAACCCAAGACTCCACCTGGGACAGAAGATCTATTTCCCAGAGAAATTGCCTTGGTGGTCTGCCAGAATAAGCGCAAGGTCAGGGGAATCGGTGCAAGGTCAGTGAACTAGATCTGTGCAGATAAATGATGGCCGATTATTAGCACTTTTGCTCGTTCCTACCCAACCACAGAATTAATGGCATCAAATGAAGTGGGAGGTGGTGGGGGCGTGAGGTGGGGGTGAGAGGAGAATCTAACGAGTCTCAACTTTATGATTCTCGGATCGGGCCAAGAACATTCGTTTGGAGGTAACCTGTCTGATCAATGCTTGCTGCGAAAAGCCAGGGGAAAACGGCCTGTTTATCAACGTGACTTATTGGTTCACCGTGGAGTAAATTGAATAGTTTAAGATCCTTAGGTCTAATTGTCTTTCACGGAGAGACTATTTGTGGAGCAGCAGTTGATGGTGAAACTGTAAATCACCCAGTACGTTTCTTAATTCCGCCAAGTTGCTTGGCAGCCGTGGCTATACCCTTTGAAATGGTTCGATATCACATTCTCAATGGATGGCTGCACAGAGCAAAGGACTAAATAAATGTTCAAGTGTTGCAGAGCTCGAATATTGTACATATTTAGGAACAACGTTCCGCTCATCTGTGCCTTTGCGTTAGAGAAAAGCTTCTTCCCAACAGTCGTTTCAACACTTTAAGCCATGATAGTCCACGAATCACTGCCATAATTAGCTCTGCATTGTTTGAGGAGTGCAATCTTACTGAAATTGGCCAAACATCACCATGAGATAATATAATTACCCAGTGAACTCTGTTACTTCTTGTTCCAGCAAGAATTAAACTGATATTATGGAAGATAAATATTGGGATCAATTTACTGCCAAAACTAGAGGACATGGCTTCAGAACTAACTACCCTCAGATAACACACACCCACACACACTAGGGCAGGCGTGCAGTCGACCCCCAACAAACAGTAGCTGATGCTGTGTTGATTAATTCTTTGATCACAGGAATGGATCAATTGGAGGTTAATTTGATTTGTTTGTGAATCATTACATTTTGTAATATTATGCACATAAGCTAATGGTACTTGTATTGTGGTCAGGGTGTGGAGACGAACAGAGTTGAACAGTGGAGGTGAGGGTGGATGGCTGGATGGATGAATGAATAGTATGGAAATTTGCTCGTCCTTGGAAATGCTGCAGGCTTTCTTTGAGAAGGCCGAGCATCATGAACTCAGTGGCAGGACAGTGAAAAGAGTGAATTCTTAGTCTATGCTTTGATTTGTCTGCTGCCGAGGATAATTGCAACGTATTGAACAACAGGCTTGCATCGGTTACCCCGCGCACTTTCTACATAAAGCCACACAACACATGCCATCGGGGAGATTGAGTAAGAGGTGAGGATTTGTGATGGTGTGCCAATTTTGGGATTTTCATGTTCTGTTGCTTACAGTTGAATTGAAAACGTTCACCTTGCCCGTGCAGTGCCACTGCTGCTCAATCCAAAATGCTTGGAATTCATCCACCGTAATAAGCATTATTGTGAAGAAGTCCTCCTGACGTGAAAGGCGCTATGTAAAATGGCAATCGTATCGAATCCAGTGAATCCAATGGCTCGGCCGAGTTGGACCCAGTGAGGACGGCACTTACCTCGCAGCTTCAGTGTAGCGTTCCAAACAGCGGAACACGACAGCTTGGCGAAGATGGTTCCGGAAGTTAATTGGATTCAGCAGTATGCTCCTGAGAATAGATTCAAAATGTCCACATTTAGCCCCTTGCGCGTGACATTTTTTACAAAAAAAAAGTGGCACCGAATTAACTCGAGATGTAAAGGTACGTGGAGTTTATTTACACCCTTCAACGTTTCAGTTGCGTCACGACATCAATACCTGCCACAGCAATACTGCAGAAATATTTGAGGTTGGGTCAATCTTCCAATACTGGAACTGCATTATTTTCGAGTAAGTCTCCCAGCAACTATGCTCTTCTGATGTGTATTTGAAATAGAAAACTATATGTATGTGTATATTTTTTTTAACAAAACTAAGCGTTACTGGAAAATACTCTCAGTCAGGGTAAGCCTGACACCAATTTCCTCAGTAATATATTCTATAAGTGTACAGCAGAGCCTATTTGACATAATGTCTTCCAGATGAAGATGGGAATAGAATCATAAAATCTTACAGCACAGAATGGAGGCTGTTCGGCCCATCTATAATCTGCGCCAGCTCTTTGTAGAGCTACCCAATCAGTCCCACTCCCCCGCTCTTTCCCCATGTCCTTGAATGATATAATGGACCTTGTCCAATAGTGTGTACCTGTGAGCATGGTTGAGAGCCAAGTCTGGTCTTCTCATTCGTAGGTAGCAGGTCACCAGCTTCGTCTCAATAAAACTGGCAATGCTCGAAATCTTCTCATAAGATGCATAAAATGGGTTTCCCAGAACTGCCCCTTTACTGCACAGCTGCACAAAATCAAATACTTTCCGTTAGTTATTATACAACAGAGGATCATTTCTAAACTCAGTGACTTCAGCAAAGTTCAGCAAATTCAATCTGCTTTTTTCAAAAAAACGTAGACCTAGCATTATATCGTCTTGAAACAAGTAATATCAATAAAAGTTTATTGGTTTACTGAGGCTACTTAATTTTTTCAAATTGTTCATTGTTAGTAAATGATTGTAAACCATCGCTGCTGGCGAAAGAAGACCGAGGTCCATCTAGTTCGCCTTCCACCATCCTGGCAGTCACTTGCCATGTTGTCCCAAACTGTACCCCAGATATTATTTTCTAGCAGAAATCTAATTTGTTCTTGAAACAAACGACATATAAAATCTGAGGATATTAATAGTAATAAACCAATACTAATCTTGATTTAAAAACTGACATGAAAGTAACACGTGCCTCTAACGCAGTTCTGAATCTTCCTGCCGCCACGGAGTACTTCTTCTGGTGATAGTAGAAACTTGCATCTTTTAAAGCTTTGGCAAGCCATTTGTCCATTTGAGGTGCGAAATTCAAAGCGCAGGCAGTCATAGGATCTCCGGGTTTAGAGGTCTCATATGCTGACTGCGTAGGTCCATATTCTTGGGGTTCTGCAAACTCGTAGGTTATTTCTTGTTCATCAACATAGACGAGCTTCATTTCAACGTCCATCACACTTTTCAGTGGGACTCGAGTGAGGGACTGACCAGCTGAAGGATCTGGATGTTCTGCTATTTTCAATTCTTTTTTGACGACGCATTTCTCTTCATTCTCGAGTTTCCTTTTGATACCTAAGCTGTCCAACGTACTCTTTCTTTTCAGCTTAACCTTCCTTGTGTGCGTTATTCTTTGGCTCAGGTAGGCCTCTGCTTTTCGGCCGCACGCTTTGCCATTCCCATTTGGAGTCCCCGTGTGATCGGTCACGTTCTCCGGTGTATTCTTCACGCACAGGTTAACGGTATCTATTTCCTTTTCACTTCTGCAGCTCATCGCCACATTTTGTTTGCTGTCTGAATTTTTCCTAATCATGGAAGCCATACCTACGACAAACACCAACAACGTGAAGCGCTGTACAAATAATCATAATAATAATCATAAGAATAATCCCGGCATTTGATACAGCGCCTGATCACGTCATTGAGACGTCTCAAAGCGCTTCACAGGATACACTGTAAAGTGAATTGACTGTATATTTTGGAGGTGAAGGGCGGCGGCCGACTGGGCTCAGCGGTGTCCCCACAAACCGCCGCGGGTTGAGTGACCAAATGTTTATTTTAATTTTTAAAGTGGAGTGACCGTGTTTTCTTTTTTTTTTACAGGTGACCAAAGAGCTGTGATCACAAGGGATTATCATCGAAACAACAGTAGATATCAGTTATTTCGGGCTCATTAGACATTGTAATGGTATCACGGCTTTTTTTGGGGGGGGGGTCACCCGGTGGGGGGGGGGGGTCACCCTGGGGGGTTCCCCGGGGGAGGGGGGAAGGAGGTCACCCGGGGGGAGGGTTCCCCGGGGGGGGGGTCACCCAGTGGGGGTCCCCCGGGGGGGGTCACCCGGGGGGGGGGGGGGGTTTCCCTGGGGGTGGTTTCCGGGGGGGAGGGTCACCCTGGGGGTTCCCCCGGGGGGGGGGGGTCACCCTGGGGGGGGGGGGGTCACCCTGGGGGGTGTTCCCGGGGGGGTCCCCCGGGGGGTGTTCCCCGGGGGGGTGTTCCCCGGGGGGGTGTTCCCCGGGGGGGGGGGGTTACCCTGGGGTGTTCCCGGGGGGGGGGTGTTCCCGGGGGGGGGGGTGTTCCCCGGGGGGGTGTTCCCCCGGGGGGGTGTTCCCCGGGGGGGGTCCCCCGGGGGGGGTGTTCCCGGGGGGGGGTCCCCCGGGGGGGGGTCCCCCGGGGGGGTGTTCCCGGGGGTGGGTGTTCCCCGGGGGGGGTGTTCCCCGGGGGGGGGTTCTCGGGGGGGGGGTCCCCGGGGGGGGGTCCCCCTGGATGGTGGGGTGTTCCCGGGGGGGGGGTCCCGGGGGGGGGGGTCCCCCTGGATGGTGTGGGACTGAAACCCCCCTCTGGTTATCTTACTGTGAGGCTGTGGGTTACCAGTGAAGCGCAGTGACCGGGAACAGGTGGAGGGGGTACGAGCACTGACTGACCTGTTGGTGCGGAGACCCCCACAGAGAGCCCTCCTTCCCCGGGGAGAGGGCGGCTGTTACACTGCTCCCTCGGGGCGGCCTCGTGCCGCACCTTCTCTCGCCTTTTTGAACGCAAACACCTGCGTGAGGTCACCTGTCCACGAGGCGGCGCCACCACCACCTCCACCACCAGCAGCAGCACCACACCTGGTCACCTGGTCACCCCCACACACACACACAGGTGAGGCTCTGCTCCTCACTGACTAACCTGTGCCCCAGGTACAGACACACTGACCACCACCTCTCCCTTTTGCTCTCCTTTAAACACCAAAGGGTTTTTTTTTTATTGTACTCCATATGTTGCAGGAAACCCGGTGAGTAAATAACTATATTATCTCTGTCTCTCTCTCTCTCTCTCCATCTCCTCATCATCTTATTCACTGAATGGATCCACTCTGAACAAACCTGTCAGACAAAGGCAGACACAGAAGAGGTTAAATGGCTCCTCTGTGTGTTGTGTGTGTGTCCTATTAAAAGAAGAACCCTAACCCTAACCCTAACCAACCGGATGTTACAATGACAGCAACAACAACAACAACAGCAATTCTGTGGGTGGTTTTTTTTTTCTTCTGGAACAAAACTGAGTTTGGTTTTTTTTCTCTCTGTCCTCCGATATCTAAATGTTCTTCATCCCGAACCGTCCCGCTCCCCTGGTTTACCGCCCGCCCCAAAAGCCAACGGTCCCTTGTGGGAATGTGTCAACCCGTTGGATTTGGCCAACTTGGCGCTCTCGGGCGTCTTGAAGGTCGCAATCATTTACTGTCGACTTACGACGTCAGCTTCAAATCAAATTAGCGGTGCCTAAATATCTAACAAGTGGAAATGCTCAAAGAGTAATCATTATTTTAGAATGGGATGTTATTGTAAATATTGGGACGTTGGTTTGGGACCTCAATATAATATCATTTCCAATAATTATCGCTGTTATAAATTGGGAGACAAATGTAAGAAGAAACATTACACAATTGCATTTAGCACTGGACCATATATTATTTCCTGGTGTCCTGACCAACAGTCCTCCAGGTAAATTGATCATTTACCTCTTGGCTCCTGAGACTTTATCCTATCGGAACGGCCCTTTGTAAATGCAAGTTGTTGTTATTTGTCGGACCTTTTTATGTGCAAAATGGTTGTTATATTTGCCTTTTGAAAAGCCTTGCTATACTTGACAGTATTTATTGTGAAGCACTTTGAGATGGGCAACGTGATGAGCTGTCATAAAAATAGCAGTTCTATCTTAATTTATAAAATACTGTCCGACCTTATACTAATAAAGTCATTACTTATTAATGTATCAACAGTAATCGACAAAAAAATGTTTATGACAGTTTGTAATGTTTGAATAACATCATCATTTCCTTACAAAATACAGTTTCTACACTTTGCAGAATATCCTGTCAAACGCTTTGAGATGGTCACCCAATATGAAAGGTGTTGTACCAAATGCAAGGATTATTATTATGATTATTATTTATGATTATTATAGAAATATCCTCACCTTTCCTACATTACTTTGAACATAAATTAATCCAAAAGCAAATTAGAGTTGCAGAATATATTAAATTATGCTGAACTGTTTTTTTTTAATGAATCTTGGTTTCCTTTCCAAACAATGAGAATTTCTGAGGAATAACTTGAGACTAGATGTAATACGTCACCTCTGAGAGAAGAGAAACACCATTTGTTTCCAACAGAGGCATTTACCATTCTATTGTACTCTTAACATAATTAATTTGCTGTAAAATGAGTTAGCTTTGTCGTACATGCCTTTCGCAGGTGCCACAAATGGATTTTATTCCAAATAATCTGATTCTTCTTCCAAGTGCAATCCTCGTAACAATAAATCTATTGCAAGAAGAAATGGTTGAAACTAATTGTTTGAATTTTCTACTGCAAAGGAATATCTTCATGACGGTATGTTTCAGCGTAAGGTCTCGTAATGACTCTTCTCTTCAAGTCATGTATGTTGTGTACTGATTTTTTTTGAATGCTCTTACCAATCCGTCATGATAAAGCATCGTAAAATAGCTTCATGTGTATATTTTCATTGCGTTACACTGTAAAGGTAAGACACTTGTGGGAGAGGTTCTTATTGGCCTTGATGTTTACTTTTTGGGAGGACAAGTTTGGTCAAATAGGTGAATAACAATAGAGCTGGAAAGAGCATGAAGTCCCTTATTGTATTACGCAGTCCAATAACTACAGTGTGGAATCTGAGATAACACTGTTATTGTGTCACCAAGATTAAATTTACTCAATACAAGCAAGTTTTGCCATGAATATTTTCAATCTTGCTTGATCTTGCCATTTGAACCCTTGATGTTGAGCGGAGATGCTCTTTGTGTGTTGTCTACATACAGTATCTCACTTGATCACCTTTGGTATCCCAGCACATGCTGTTAACATGGAATCTTCTCATGAGTTACTAGCTATCGCCTCCATTTGTTGTGGTTCATCGCAGGCAATTTTGGCCATTGGTATTTTGTCCAGTTGTGTCGTTAACTAAAAAATGTGGCTTCTGGTAATGCTGCAAATGCTGTAAAAATCAACATCAATTATATTGATTTTTTTTTGGTTTGTTTGTTTGCTTCTGGACACTGTTCAAATTACCACTCAGGACATCTATTTGACTAGATGTTTTTGCTGTTAATACTGGCATTGTTCCTGCCCACTTCTAACAGCACTTTGTTGAGCTTCGTTGTGTTATCGCATGAATATTAAACCTGTAATTCCAATGTATTTTCAGCCTGATTTTGAGTGGAATTAACAATGCCCGTACAATAACTAGGGGGAAAAAAATAATTTTAACTAATGTTGGCGGCTATTGAGAAGCTTTCCTACAGTACCACTAAAAGGCTTTATCAAACTGTGGCTTTTGTTTTGTACACTGATGACTACTATTAGCAATAGTGGCCTGATTGATGTCTGTTTCTGTTCACGAATTACTCGTAAATCATTTTAACTCTTTAGGCACATAGAGCGCAGCCCATTTTCTTGTACCAGATATCCTTCATGGACTGGCTCGTTAAAAAAGGCAAACACACCAACTCCCCCTCCCAACAATATATTTCAGGTGTCATAGTTTCACAATTAGCTAATTTGCTGATTTATTTACAGAAATACAAACCCTGCATTCTGGTTTCCTTCACTAATTGAATTCTTGTTCCTGGGGCTTGTAGAGTTCTGTGGATTTTTTTTTTAGTTGTTTATCTTTCACTTCACGTTTCTGCATTGTAAAGTATTTTGTGATAACTTTTGTAGAAACTGCTGAGTGTTGATTTTGTATATCTCTGCGGTGCAGTAAAGCCCCATTAGAGATGGTGCTCAGCTTTTTTTTGCCCCCACCCCAAAAAAAAAGTAACAATCTCTCTGTTCAGGTCATCTCAGGCAGATGAGTTTAATACTCCTCTCCATGCTGTTAGCTGTTCCCAGCCTAGGCTATGTTGAGTCGATTGTTTGACTCAAAAATGTTTCCAGGTGAGATAGATATTGTAAATACATCCTGTGCAAATGGAAGATACTTTTCTGACAAATTGTGATTTGAGGAATAGTTAGGTTTCCAACCCAATGAAAGGATACCATTGTTCCCCTCAGTTACTCTCAACCACCATAGTGCATCTACGTCAGCGCAGTTTTTCTGTGAATTGAGAGTAGTAGCGATTGATTGCTCGCTAATAATTGGCAATCTTGGATGCCAGGGCATTGAGAATTTCCTTTGAACTTAGTTCCCATAATATTGAGCTCCTTGTAACTTGGTTCCTATTGATTTCTTGGGGGTTGGTGTGTCTGCCTTTTTTTGTATAAGCACACTGTGAAAGCACGATCAGTTGCACTGGATGGAATGCATTGCCAGTCCAGCCTTGTCTGGGGTCTCTGCTTTTCCTGCCCATTACCAAAGTATCAAAATGTCACACAACTGATTCATGTTAAGATTAATGAATCTGAAGTCGCCCCCGCCCCAAGCCCCCAAGCCTGCGCCAAATACTTTCCGGAATTAGGTAAACAGGATGTGTCCCTCTGGGGGGAAGGGGGGGGAGAGAGAGAGAGGGATTTCCATGTGTGGGTGGGAGGCATGAAAATCTCAGCTTGGTTTGGTGATGGATTTCCCCATTTGTCGCACATGGCTGAACACACCCCGCACACCCCCACAAAAAACAGAGGGTATATACCCATTACTATAATAATCCTTGCATTTGATATTGCTCCTTATCACGTTGTTGAGACGCCTCAAAGCGCTTCACAGAATATATTGTAAAGTGAATTGACTGTATATCACTCAATCCACAGCCGGTTGTGGGACGCTGCTGCACAATTGGCTGCTGCGTTTTGGCCACAAAATATAGAGTTAAACCATTTCACAGTATATTCAGTGAAGCGCTTTGAGAATGTCTCAACGATGTGATAGGATGTTATATGAAATGCAAGGATTATTATTGATTTAGAAAGTGTTTTCCAATGCGTCTCTCGGGTCTATGAACAAGCCCGAAATACTCCTCTGACTGAGAGACTCAATGGATGGATAACAGTGGGACTGAAATTAACTTTGTTAATGCCTGACCTGTGCTGAATTAGCTGATCTCTAGTGGTTGCCTAAGACTTAAACTACACTGGACTGAGAGACGTAAAAATCACCCAACACTGCTGTTTGTGACTGCAAACGTGTGACATTTTGTGGGAACATGTGCTTGTGAATATTGGGTGATGACAACACGATCAAGCTTGGCTGTGAATACAACATTACATGTGAATAGCGCCTTTCACACCAGGAGGACATCCCAAGGAGCTGGACAGTCAAAGATTTGGACCCGAGCAGTTTGTGACTGCAAACTAGTGACATTCTGCGGGAACGTGTACCTGTGACTATCGAGTGGTGAGGACAGGGAGGAGCTTGGCTGTGAGTACTCGACAGTCAAAGAGTTTGTCGATGCTCCTCAGACAAGTTCAGTAAATATAGAAATATGAAATTACTGTTCTTAATTCTTAAAGCGCAGCTTTTGCGACAACAAAAAGGTATAATGTCATGAAACCTCAGGACAGATCTTGGCTTCTTTTAATAAAAACAAATGTCGCTGGGAACACTCAGCAGGTCAGGGAGGATAGTATCTGTGGAGAGAGGAAAGTGAGTTAACGATTCAGGTCGATGATCTTTCGTCGGAATATTCCGCCTTGGGTCCCTTTATCCGGTCAATTCGGAAAATGTGCGATTTTCTTTTCAGGTCAGAAAGATCCCACTTTGCATTGTATTTTATCACTGTTTTCGTTTTCCCTGTGTATAATGCACCACCTCTTGAATAATTTGAGATGCAATAAGTATCCGACAGATGCTCGTGAAATCCTATCGAACTGCACTCCTCCTGTATTTCAGGTCAAGTCAAGCGATTTGACTGCGTCTGCAAGAACAACCCTGACTGTCTACGCTGACTGCTGGCCAAGAAAAATCTTGATGTAATAAAGTATATCTAATGAAAACACTACCTTCCTTCCATTTCCCCTTCCATAAAATCCAGCTGCATATTTTAACAGAAATAACACAGACTGCGGTGTTTATATCTCAAGGGTACAAAACCTTGGATAATTGAGCTGACAATGAACCCATCTACTTTCTTGTCACGACTTGACATCATGTAGACCTCCCCCCCCCCCCACTTTCAATGCATTGCTATCTTCCCATCACACACACACACACACACACCAGCCTCACCCCCCACCCTCCTGTGTTCATTGCTTTAGCAACTTATAAACACTTATATATTTTAAGGAGCGATGCCGATAGAGAAATGGGTCAGTGTTTTTTTGAATATGTAAAAAAAATAATAATAATAATAAAAACTACTGGAGGTTTATTTTATTTTAGCTGACCTGGAAAAGAGCAGATGTTCATATATATATATATTAAAAAAAGTGCAACACGTTTTAATTATCTCTAAAAGATATAGATATATAAATACTGTGTGTATGTATATATATATATAATATATTTGCTACATATCTGACGTCAGTCCTGACGTTCAGTAGTGGTTCAGTGCTGTCAGTGTTATGTGAGCAGATATTCAAATGGCATTTGCAGCTCCTGAGCTCTCTCTCAGCTCCGCATACACTACAGCATTCGCATCGCTTTGGGACTTGGATCCACAGAGACAGAGACAGAGAGAGACAGAGACAGAGAGAGACACAGAGAGAGAGGGAGAGAGAGGGAGAAGAGGGGAAAAGCGCAATCTAACAATTACAAGACGTTTACTGTGTTATTTTTCTCCAGAAAATCGACCCCCACCCACCCCTTTTTTTTTCTCCCCCCCCACCACCTCTGTGGGATTTTGATCCATACGTTTGTGTTTGTGTGTAAGTGTGTGAGAGAGTGAGTGTGTGAGAGAGTGAGTGAAAGAGAGTGTGAGAGTGTGAGTGTGAGAAAGAGTGTGAGAGTGAGTGTGAGAGAGAGTGTGAGAGTGAGAGTGAGAGTGTTGGCATTAGGATATCAATCAAACCAGTCGTTGCTTCAGACGACTTGGGATCTGTTATTAGAAACACATATCTTTTTGGGGGAAGAAGAAGAAGGAGGAGGAGGAGGAGGAAAAAACATGGAAGGAATCTCGGGGAAGGAATGGGCATTTGGAAAATCACTGATGCACCGAAATTCAGCGGTGAATATCCAGGTCCGCCATTGGATTTGTTAAGAAGGTTTCACCAAAGCGATGGCTAAAGAGGGGCAATGAATGCGCATAAACAGCACTCAGGAGACAACCCAAACCCCAAAGCCTTCACTGGGTTTGGAAGTCCAGAGGAAAGAAAGAAAGAGAGAGAGAGATCTTTGCTGCTGGAGTGCTGTGTCGGGGTGTGTGGCTTTATATATATATATATATATACACATATGCAGCCCAGACCCCGGGTGGGGGCAGTGATCAGGTGAGTCAGTGGTTTATCGATGGGTCGGTTTTACGTCTTTATGTCATGTTTGATTGACTGTGTCGGTGTCTGTGTAAACTGTGAGGACTTTGGGTCTGAGGAGAGCTGATATTTGTATTGCCCCCACTCCCCCCTACTCTCCCCCCTACTCTCCCCCACTCTCCCCCCACTACCCCACTCTCCCACTCCCCCCTACTCTCCCCCACTCTCCCCCCCCCCACTCCCCCCCACTCTCCCCCACTACCCCACTCTCCCACTCCCCCCCCTACTCCCCCCTACTCCCCCCTACTCTCCCCCACTACCCCACTCCCCCCTACTCCCCCGCACTCTCCACCACTACCCCCTCCCCCTACTCCCCCCCCACTCTCTTCCACTCTCCCACTCCCCCCCACTCCCCCCACTACCCCACTCTCCCACTCCCCCCCCACTCCCCCTATTCCCCCCCACTCCCCCCCCCCTACTCTCCCCCCACTCTCCCCCTCCCCACACTTGACCATTGCAGTCTTTTACTGATCCTTTAAAAACACGAACACTCCAGTAACTCCGCTTTCTGTTTGTTTTTTGGGGGGTGGGGGTGGGGGGGGGGATGGTGCGATTGTACAAATGGGAGGGATCAAAGTGATGGCAAACCCACCCACAGCTGGGGACAGCTCGTGGGTTGACTGGGGACAGGGGTCTGTCTTTATTATTCCTTTGCAACTTTGCAATATAAAGTTCAAGCAGTGCGTTAAACCAGAGAGAGAGAGAGAGGGAGAGAGATGGCTCCGACTTTAGAGGGTGTCAGTGTAACAAGGGACCAAGTGCCTCCACTCATTCCCTGATCCTGAGACCCCACCATCAGGATTGTTTTCCCTGGGATCCGAATGAATGAATTATGGATGGAGCAAAGTCACAGCAGATCGGTTGATGCTCCTCTCAGATGCCTCCACCAGTGCGGTTGGCAGAGACCTCTTTGTAAAGCAAATACAGCTCATCCCTTTGCCCAGTTTCTTCTTTTTTGTACATAAATATATATATATAACGTATTTCTCTTCCTACTCCCGTCTCTTCCCCGTTGGTCCTGGTTGACTACTTGCCCAGGTGTCAATGGGGGCAATATTTGAACACTCGCCAAAGATCAGCCAGAGGATGCTTTCAAATACCCCCCCACCCACCCCCCCCCCCCCCCCACACACACACACACTTTTACAGTGTAAAAGTGCCCCATCTGAGCAGAATATGCTTCAATATGTCGCTGTGAAGCAGTCCTTCCATTCAGTGCTCTCGATTTTCCAGCAACGCCTTGAATCAGCCTTTCTACCGCGTCCCGAAGCAGATAGCAATATGATGAGAGGATGTGCCATCGTGCGGATGAGAGGTTTGGCATCATATAGGACCTCCACTTACTTACTTACTGCCTTCATATCTATTATTTATTTGCATTGCGTAGACACACCAGGTACCTTCCGCCTGGATTAACACAGCCCATTCCAGAAATCCACCCTTTTATTTATACATCAGGAATAAAAAAATACAGTGAATATACAGTGGACGCTGTAGTTCAATCGACGTCTAAATTAACTGACCATTGTCTTGGGAGAAGGATTTTATTATAAAGGGCTGAACTTTGAGTGTTAGTTCTTGGGTGGAAATCAAATGCAGTGGACAGTAATATAGGTCTCCAACTAAGAATGGATTCAGCATTCCCTCTTCCTCCCTAAAGAGGATTAATACAGGAAAGCAAAATAAAAAGGCTCTTCTAAATGGTTATACAATTAAGGTTTCTGATTATGATATTGTAGAATGTAGAATAATGCATTTTCTTTGGGTGGGTGGGGGTCGGCTAATTGACTGGACACATGCGGAAACCCATCACCGTTGCTTAAGAGTCTCCAAACCGAGCTGAGATTTCCCGGCCTCCCGCCCACACCCACACATGGAGATCCCAGAGCGAGATTGTTGGAGTGGAATGCGCTCACTCTCTCTCCCTCCCTCCCGGGAAGGACACATCCTGCTCACCTAATTCCAGAAAGTATCAGGCGCAGGTTGGCAAGAGCCAAGGCTTGGGGCGGGGCGGGGGGGGGGGGGGGGGGAGCCCAGAGTGTGCCATGGGGTAACTGCTGGAGTCTAACCAGGTAAAACCAGTATAGCTTACCATTAACTTGGATGCATCCCACAGAAATGCAGAATTCTGATTAAATAGTGACGGTGATGGGCAATGTTGCAAGGGAATCTGGACATTATTTTGATGTTTTCTGGTGACCTGAAAAAAGTGAGGAATGACGTGGTTTTAGTCCCGCAAATTTGCAGAACTCCACACTTTCTGCTTTCGGTTGCAAAGACGTACGAAATTTCACCCGATGTGATTTTTTTCACGCGCGGGTCTATAGGTGGCAGTGCAGATTGACAAATAGAGGTTTCTTTTTTCTGCCATTGCAGTTTCCATCTGAAAGGCTAAAGGCAGGTCTGATCGAAACACGACAAAATGCATTGAGTCATGTATGCGGTTGTCGTTACGTATCGCGTGCTTTATTAAAATATTGTACGACTGGTTGGTTACTATTTAATTGATTAGGGAGATATTGAACTTGTTCAACTGTGTATCAGGAATGCTCGTTCAACACCTTAACCCATCCCACAGGCAGGCCAAAGTCAACCCAGATATTGTGCTCTTCCTGACTTAATTCCCGCTCAATGATTATGAATTTGAGAATATTTATATGATGGTTAAAATGCGTATCGCTCTGCTAATCCAAGATTGCTTTTAAGAACAAAATCTTGTACTGGAAAAATAATAATCCTTGCATTCGATGTACTGTCACCACCTTTCCAGTTTGTAGGGCATCTTAAAGGCTTAAATCACTTCACAGGAATTTGTTTTGGTCAGCTGGATGTCTAACGCATACGGAAACCCATCACCATGCTTAAGAGTATCCAAACTATCTGGGTGTTCCATAAACATGGAAATTCCCAAGATATTTAACGGAATTGAGTGTACGTTCTCTTCCTGGAGGGAAGCCTTCTGCTTTCCTAATTCCGGAGAGTATTAGGGCAAGGATATTGCTGGAGGTTAACCAGCTAAAACTGCATAATTGCCATTGAGAGCACTCTCTGGCAAACTTTCCCATTATTGTATTAATGTTTACTGCATTTGTTTTTTTATATAAATAAGTGAAGCGACTGTAGCTTGCAGGCAAACACAGCAATGACCCACAAGCAGCCAAGGAGTGAATGACCCATTTTATTTGAGGGATTGTTGGCCAGGACAACCCGGAGAAACTCCCTTTTTTTAGTGCTGTGGAATTTTTAATGTCTACCTGAACAGGCAGATTGAGCCTTGGGTTAACATCTCATCTAAAGGACGGCATCACTACACTGTAGCACACCCCCAGCTCTACATTGGGGTATCAGCCTAGATCAGAACATAGCTGAGTCTTTTCTGACCTACTTTTGTTTGATGTTTTGATATTAACCACAAAACCTGGCTCATAAACCAAACAATTGATGTGTTATTGGCTGCCTATATCGCCAGGTTGATTGGTATAAAATTATAATTTCATAATCTGAAAACCTCTGTCAATGTCTTGGCAGAATTATTGGAACGTTCCTGTGTTATCCTTTCATCTTAACAAACTGATCTGCGAAGCAGACTTGGATTAATAACCGGAAAGTCATAGGTTAAGTCCACTCTTTGTCTGACAAAATACCGTTTTAATTTTAAAAAATCTGCACTTGGGCAACGCAGATCTAACATTATTTACTGATGTTATGCATCCATTTGACTCACTACTTTAAGCAAAATATCCTATTTATTTCTATCTTGAATCACACTATTATCCATTTGCTGATATTTTTCAGCATTCTTGTTTTGCATTGGTAAGACAATGATACATAAGCTTAGTGAAGGGATTGTCATCTATCATACATTTGGCTAAATCACATGGCATCAAATTGCCCAGTGCTTTCTGCATCTGGCTGAAAAAATAATTTATAGATGAAAGCTCCTCTAACGTGAACGGTAACTTCAGAAATTGAGCTCATGCAGTCCCTGAAACTGTCATCTCTGTGTGAACGCACAGGTTAAGGTACAAGTAATGGAGTTGCCACCTGTCTCTGACCTGATGCATAACTGATGCGCATTCAACACATCACCGCAGATTATCACACAAAACATTTCTCCCAAGCCCAAATTACATACTCTCATTGGGTGATGTAGGAAGTTAACCTGAAATGCATTTGAGTGCACCAGTAGATTTAGATGGGTTGATCAGCCCTTTCTAAGAAATATCAATACCAATTTTGAAATCATAATGTTTTTGTTACAATATGCCAGTCATTATAGCATACAAACTGCTCAATTACCAATCAGAGGAATGCCAAAGACTCCACTGTGTTATTGGAAGCTTTGCTATGGATGTAATACAGCAAGTTGCTCCAGGTCTAGAGCTGGAAATTGATGTTTCACAGTGTCAACAATGCTGATTTTAAAGTGAGGAACAGTAGATCAGTCAACACTTACTCATGTTAACTGAGACAAGGTTTATTACTTGAAGTGGCGAGATAACTTTTGTTTTCATTGCACTAAAATTGATGGAGAATTTGACTTAATATGGCTATATACAACAAGGATAAGATGAATCACTACTTTGATATTTTCTGGAAAATACGTATAAAGTCCTAAAGTAACATATTGTCTCACTTAAAATCAAATGATCAAATCTTGGCTGTTTTGTGGGCGCCATGAAGTACATTGCTCGTGTCATGGCTATTCTTAATGGATGAGCCTATAGAATATGGTACCACAGGCAATTTGACCATTTATCATGGAGGACATTATAAGATAAGTTTTACAGATAGTTTTGTCTTCATGTAATATCCATGTGCGTATATGCCCAGAAAGACTTGCAGGATAGCACTCCAAAGCAGGAACGTTGGAAGAAGCCAGGAGTAATACAGCTAATTGAAATGCTTTAATTACTAGCCTGACCCAAGACTAACTGCTTCAATGCATTTTAATCTGT